AACTGCGTTGACGTAAGTGCCGGTAGCCCTCCAACATGCCATCTTCTTCTCCATGGCAGCTATCCACTGAGAGGCCTAGGGTCCCGAGGTCGCCCCAGCGTAAGTGCGAGGGGTCGGGATGTCGAAAGCGCCTGGGTTACCCTAAGGGACTAGCAGCATGGAACAGAGATGGGGAGCAGCCTCGGACAAGAAAGCAAGCTCGTACTGCCTGTCCTCTAGGACACCACTGCCAAGGGCAGGAGCACCCTTGACGAACGGAGGACGGACAGGATCGGAGACCAGAGCGGTGGCGTAGTCAAGGCGGCAGGTAGAGGCGAATTCAGCGAGAGCCGCGACAAGAACGTCAAGACAGGAGACAGGAATAACGAGTTGGTAACGAGGGAGGAAAGAACCCGAGGAACGAGAGGACAAGCAACACTAAGGTAGTGAGACAGAGGGGGGGGCGCGACAGCGAGCGATGACGGAGGAGGCAAAGGCAGGAGGGGAGGAAGAGACGCATGGGAACGAAGCAACATAGGGTGAGAGCGCTGAACAGGAGAAACGGGGCAAGCACGAGAGGGACGGCGAGACCTGACTTGAGACGGAGGCGTCGGGTCAAGAGACAGAGGAGGGGTAACAGGAGGGGAGCGCGGTGGGAAGCAAGCCGGGGACGAGTCTGGCGGAGGAAACACAGGGCCGTGAACAGGTAGGGGAGGAGGTGGGGGGGAAAGCGCAGGTGAGCAGTTAGGGGAGGGAAGGCCGAGCATGCGAAGGGCGGATACTGGCAGTGACTGCTGCTGCCGCTGCTCGACGCCGATGCCGGGTCCGCCAGCTGCAACGCGACGACGTCCGGAACACTCCACTCCAGCACCCCCGGAACGAGCACCCCTTGTGCGAGAACCCTCTCCGGCACCTTTGCCACCCTAGGAACCCCAGGACTAGCACCCTCCTCAACGTCAGCAACCCCACCCAGGCCCGTCGGGACAAGCCACGACAGGAACCCCAGGACTAGCACCCTCCTCAACGTCAGCAACCACAGAGTCCACGAACGGCGTTGCGACGAGAACGACTTCGACGGCGAAGAGGGAGACACCGGGGGGGAGACAGGCGGCGGGAGTTGTGCCGCAAGGCCACCAGAGTCAGCCAACTCCTTGACTAGGACAACCGACGAGGGGAGGGGTGACGTGAGACACACCAGACGAAGCAGGAAGGGGAGGAAGGGGAGGCGGGGCGACCGGAGGAGTGGGGACCAGAAAGAGAGGGGGGGAAATCGGGAGACCTCAGTGGGGAAAGCGGTGCTAAAAGGATGCAGACTCGTCGAAAGTGACGTCACGGGAGTAAAGGAAGCGGTGAGACTACGGGTGGTAAAAGTGCCAGTCAGACGAGTCCAGGGGGAAACCGAGGAAAACACAGGGGACAGTGCGGGCAATGAGCTTGTCCGTGCCGGAGGCACGGACGTGAGCGAGGCAGCCCCAAACGTGGAACGCGGACGCGTTACCAGGGAACCCAGTCCAAAAAAGGGTCGGCGGAACCTGCGGCCGCAGAGAGTGCGGCCAGAGGTTAAGCTGGTGAGCAACGTAGCGAACGGCGAACGGCCATAGAAAATGGGGTGCACTGGCATGAATCATGGAGGTATGCGCCACCTCCATAATCAAGTCGATGCGTCGCCCAGCGACCCCATTCTCCTGTGGGGAGTCTAGTAGGGAGTTCGACTGGGTGATGCCCTCCGCACGACAGAACTGTCCAAGCCGACCAGAGGCGAACTCGCCGCCACGGTCGGAGTGGAGACATAACACAGGGGGACCGCGGTGAAGGCGGGCAACCACGACCCACGGGATGAGAACGTCAGGCACGTCGGCCTTCTGCTCCAAGCGAGAGACCGTGGTGTAGCGCGTGTAGTCATCCAGGAGCACTAGAAAGTAGCGCTCGCGACGCTGTCTAGGGACGAGGGCTGGGCCCCAGACGTCCAGGTGCAGGGTCTGAAGGGGTGCGATGGCAGGACGAAGCGAGGAGTGAGGAGCACGGCGCAGCCGGCCCTCGACGCAGGGCGTGCATGGCGGCGCAGGCGAGGGAGGGAGGGCAGGAAGCGATGCAAGGAGACCTAGGACGAGACAGTGCTGGGACATGTGACGCAGACGCGGGAGTGCGGGGTGACCTAGGCGGTGGTGCCACAGAAGCGACAGGTGAGTGAGCAACCGACACAAGCACGCAGCGGCGACCTGGATAGACGCAGAACCCGGGAGGGACGGCCCACCCGGGGGAGAAGCAGTGTCCAGCGTAAAGAGGCCAGACACCAGGTTCCGGGGGAACGTCGCAAGGAAGGAACCTGAGGCGGCCTCGGTTCAGACGGCGTACCGTTCGTGACCCGGGAACGTAGTGGTGACGCTGAGGTCCTAAAGACAGCCGACACAGTTCCAGTAGAACGAGGGGATGTGGAGGCCTGTAAGGGAGCCCGAGGGGACCGTTGGACAGGGAAGGGTAGTGTAGCTGCGAGCAACAACAGGACCAGCCAAGGGGTCAGCAAGTGCGACAGCGGCAGGCGCGGCAAGCGGCGTGAGTGCAGCGTGGTCGCGGAAGAAGCACGCAGACGCACCGGAGTCAAGTGTGAAGGACAGCGAAGCAGTAGCAGCAGACGAAGGAGGAGCGAGTGTGGAGCCTAGGCTAGACAAAGCAAACGGTCCTAGGCCTGATGCAATAGGGGAGTCTGTACTAAACACATGTGCTACGCCTAAGCTAGAGAACACAGGGCAATAAGATCCGGACACACTAGAAGCGGCATCATACAGAGTATGCAAGGCAGAACTAATCTGATCCATGTCTAAGTCAAAAACAAGCACACCGTGGCGCAGCAGGCTGGGCCAGTCAGGGAGGTCCGGAGCCAGGCCGAAGCGGCGACGAAAGAGGTGGTCGAGGCGGCGGAAGCAGCGGGCAGTCGGGTGCAGGTGGCGACCCGCATTGCCACGAAGGGGCCCGATCTGGAGCTGGTACTGGCAGCCGACTACACTGAAACCGCCGGTAGACGCCGAGCTGCGAGGGCCGCTACCTCGGCCACCACCTCCAGGGGCTCCCGGCCACCCTGGCGGGAGGCGGGCCCACAGCTGCTGCTGCTTCTGGACACCTGCCCCAGCCCCCTCGTCAGAACCACTGTCGCTGCCACCACCACCACCACACCCTCCCTTGGGGCCGCGACGGCCCCGACGCTGGCTCTGCTGCTGCGGGAAGGCTGCCGCTGCAGTCTCAGGAGCAGGAGCAGCCGTAGCGACCGTAGCGGAGACATCCGCGTACGTGCATTGGGAGGGAGCACAGCCCTGAAAGATAGGGATTGCCGCAACACCGCTCGACTAAGTGATAGTGCGCTGGCGAGTCTCTATCTCACAAAGGGCAACGACAAAGGCGGTAAGGGTGAGGTCACCTGGGTGCTGGCTAAGGAAGTGGTCACGGGCACTGGCTAGGCGGTCAGGGAGGCGCATGGCAATAAGGTACAGGGTCGCGCAGAATGGTGGGGGGAAGGTAGTGAGCTGGGCAGTAGTGCTAGCGGCACGGTAGCTAGTCTCTAGTGCGCGGAGGTGAGTGGCAAGATCAGCAAAAATGGGGAAAGCAGAGAGATCGGGGAAGAGCATGGGGAGGATCAAGCGGCCAACCGAGGCGGAGGCAGGCGTGGAGTAGCATGCAACCACTGCATCTAGGAAATCCTTGGCGGTCGCGATACTAGTGAAACGCGGACGCTCAGAAAGGGGAAGCGCATGACTAATAGCAAGTTGCGCTACATCATCGCGAGAATCCCAGACAGCGCGAGTGAGCGCAGCAGCAGCAAAGGCCTCACTCTCAGCAGTGGTGGGGTCAGCAGGGAAGGGATGAGGGGCGGAGGGGCGAGGATGCAAGCCATCAACATGCATAGCCAGGGAGTGCCCATCCTGGCGCTGACCTGTCAGGTGCCAGCGGAGATCGACAAGCCAGGCGGCGAAGTCGATCGCGTGCCCCTCCGCGTCTAGACGGAGCATGGCATCCGCCATCGCTCAACCACAGCGGCAACGGGACACAGCGGCACAGCTGCAGAGGGACACTGCGGCTCAGCGGCACAGGGACACAGCGGCCCAGCAGCACAGGGCTCTCGGGAACTGAACCGAAAGGAAGGCCGGGGAGGGCGCACACGGAGTCAAGGCGCACAAGGGGCCGGCGTGTGGAGAGGGGCCAGCAGGGCGCGTGGAGCCGGAGGTGCGCAGGAGAGGGGGCCGGCTAGGTGGTAGGGGCCGGCTAGGTGGTAGGGGCCGGATAGGCGCAAGGGGCCGACTAGGCGCAAGGGGACGGCTAGGCGCGAGGGGCCGGCAAGACGCGAGGGGCCAGCTAGGGCGCGAGGGGGCCGGTCAGGCGCGAGGGGCCGATGAGGCGTGAGGGGCCAGCTGGGGCGCGAGGGGCCAGCGACTGCGCTAGGGGCGGGCGACGGCGCGAGGGGCCAGCGAAGGCGCGAGGGGCCGGCTAGGCGGGAGGTGTGAGGGGCCAGCCAGGGCACGAGGGGCGGGCCGGCTGGTCGCGAAGGGGCCGGCTGGGTGCTAGGGACAGGCGGCAACGCGAGGGGCCCGCTAGGGCGCGAGGGGCCAGCGAAGGCGCGAGGGGCTGGCAACGGCGCGAGGGGCGGGCCGACTGGTCACGAAGGGGTTGGCTGGGCGCTAGGGGCGGGCGACGACGCGAGGCGCCCACTAGGGTGCCAGGGGCCAGCGAAGGCACGAGGGGCCAGTGAAGGCGCGAGGGGCTGGCGACGACGCGAGGGGCGAGCCGGCTGGTCGCGAAGGGGCCGGGTGGGCACAAGGGGCCGGCTAAGGGGCAAGGGGCAGGCTAGGGGGCGAGGAGCCGATAGGCACGCTAGGGGCCGGCTACGGCGCGAGGGGACGGCGAGCACACTAGGGGCCGGCGGGCACACTGGGGGCCGGCGAGGCGCGGTAAGCTAGGGCGCGGGGCGGAAGCGGGTGGGGGGGGGAGCTAGCCTACGCATGATCCCATGTTAGAATACTAGAATGAATCAAACAAGGGAGAACAAGAGAGATTTAGTGTTAGGGTTGTACTCACTAAGAAGAACATTCACCTATCTAGCCTACAAACTTCTACATAACATCATATGTATAAGTTGACAGTGTAGACGTGTGATCGTGTGAGGCTTCCAGGTTCCAGGTTCGCACGCGCGAAACTCACTTGCGATGGTTTTCTAGGATTGCTGATGTGCGCATAGCAAAACAGCAGGATCAGGAACATTATTGACTCTGCTCCTACTTTTTAGGATTCGCCCTTAGCAACCCGTGTAACATGAGTGAGAGAACCGGTGTTTGTACTGAGTATCAGAGACCCTGTGCACAGAAGCCACGTGCCAGCCCACGCTAGGTCACTGAGTACTGGTCAGGTCACCCACCCCATGCCACGTTCGGAATGGCATAGCAGCTCAAAAACGAACTGCTGCACCCCATGCCATGCCATGCCATGGAACAACAGGGTCAACCATGCAACAGCACATGGCTGCTGCTGTCTGCCAGTGCGCCTATCCACCCCATCACCACATGAGCACATCAACCCATGAGCACGTTACCCCACCAACCCATGAGCACGTTACCCCACCAACCCATGAGCACGCTACCCCGTCGCCCCATCACCCCATGAGCACATTACCCCATCACCCCATGAGCACATGACCCCATCACCCCATGAGCACATTACCCCATCACCCCATGAGCACATTACCCCATCACCCCATGAGCACGCTACCCCATCCACCCCATGAGCACGCTACCCCATCACCCCATGAGCACCCCATGGGCCCATCCATCACCCCATGAGCACGTTCCTGACTTGGTCCGCGATGTAGAGGCGCGTCTTGAGCTTGGCGATGGGCTGCCCGCCCTTGTCCTGAAGAATGAGCCGGTACACCTCCCATGTGCGCCCGCCCATCTCATGCCGCGCGATGTCCGCCTGGGGTGCCACAGCGGTGCAGTGCAGTGGGGGGAGGCGAGGAGAGGAGAGAAGAGGAGTGGAGAGGGGAGAGAGGAGAGAAGACAGGGGAAGGGGTGAACGAGTGCTGGTTTGGCAAAGTGGACTCCACACCTTGTCCATGCGAGGTGCTTTTTCTACAACTCACAGTCCAACACACCCCCCAACACAACCCCCAACACACCCCTCAACACACCCCCCAACACAACCCCCAACACACCCCCAACACACCCCCCAACACACCCCCCCCCAGCACACCCCCCAGCACGCCCCCCAACACAGCCCCCAGCACAGCCCCCAGCACACCCCCCAGCACACCCCCCAGCACACCCCCCAGGACACATCCCAGGACACCCCCCAGCACACATCCCAGTTGTACACCCCCCAGCACACATCCCTCCCAGTACACCCCCCAACAAGCACCACTGTCTGAGTCCATTCATGCATGCCGCTCAACACCGAGCACCAACAACCAAACAATCCACCATGGCTGAACCAATCCAAAAAACCCAGGACACTGGCGCAGCATTGTCATGCAACCCATGCACAGCACTAACACCTCTATCCCCTCTCCCCCCTCTACTCCCACACCCCTTGCCCCCTTCCCCCCTCCCCCCTTCCCCCCCCTCACCTTGAACACCTGCACGTTGATCTGCCTGAGGGCGAGCGTCATGTCGAACAGCACGCGTGGCCTGCCCCGCCCACAGCACTCCACTGGCGTTGCCACCAGCAACTCCGCCTCTGCAGCCTCGTCTGCTGCCACTGACGCTGCTGCTGCTGAACCTGCTCTTAACGAGGATGCAGATGATGGGGATAAGAACGCCCCTGCTGCACCTCCAGCCCCTGCTCCTACCACTGCTGCTGCTGCTCCTGCTGCTCCTGCTCCTGCTGCCACTGTTGGCCCTGATTTTGCAGACCTCCCAGCTGCTGCAGAAACCGGTGCTGCTGCAGGAGCAGCAGCGCTCCTTCCCATCCCCACCATCCCCATAGCCAGACCCATCCCTAGCCCCATCCCCATGCCCATGCCCATGCCCATCCCGCCTCCCAACTTCCCACCACCACCACTGCCAGCAGCACCACCACTCGCACGCTCCTTGACCTCCCCTCCCTCCACCGACCCGACCACGCTCCCCTTGCCTCCGCGCGTGACCACCACGATGCGCAGTGGCCGCTCAAGCTCCGCTGTGAGCCGCGCGCTGATCAGTGCCTGCTGCGCCGCGCCCTCCACCTTCCTGCCGTTGCTATCCACTACGAACATGTCCAGCTGGCATATGCCGTCGTCCGTCGTAGCAATGCGGCCGTATGACACCTGAGAGAGAGGGGGGGGTGGGGGGATGGGGGGTTTTTGAGTTGACTACAAAAACGTCTGCTGCGCCGCGCCCTCCACCTTCCTGCCACAGCTGTCCTCCACAAACATATCCAGCTGACATATGCCACCGCCCGAGGTGGTTTTGCAACCGTATGACATGAGGGAGTGGGAATTTGAGGGGGCGAGAGGGGGAAGGGGAGGCAGAACAGAGCCAAGAGCAAAGGAGAATTGGAGGAGTTGGTCTCTGCCTTTAAAGTGGTGCTAAAAGAGGCGGATGGAGGGAGGGAAGGATGAGAGAAGCGAGTCACCAGAGACGCTTTCTCGTGCATGTGAGGCTCTCAAGTCCTCCCTCTCCCCTCCCCCGCAAAGAATAACGACCACACCATGGGCATGCCAGCATTGAGTAATTTCCCTAGCTCCCGTCCCAGCTCCCAGCAGACCAAGCACCAAGGGACCCATTCTGCATCCCAAATGCACGCGGTTCCTGCTTCAACCCTTGTGGTGTGCATCCCTGGCTGCTGCGAACTCGATCCTTCCAAATGGCACAGGCTGTCACATATCTCCCCCTTTCCCATGGCACAGGCTGTGTCTCATGCAGTGCTGCATCCGCCCGCCCACCTGCATGTTGAGATCTCTGAGCGTGCGCAGGCAGTCATACACCAGCCCCTTGCGGTCCTTCAGCTGGATCTGGAGGGCGCGAGGGAGTGGCGGAAGGAAATGGGGGAGGGAGTGGGGGAGGGAGTGGGGGAGGGAGCCGGGGAGGGAGCAGGGGAGGGAGGGAGGGAGGGAGTGGCGGAGGGAGTGGCGGAGGGAGTGGGGGAGGGAGTGGGGGAGGGAGTGGGGGAGGGAGCGGGGGAGGGAGCGGGGGAGGGAGTGGGGGAGGGTGCAGGGGAGGGAGCGGGGGAGGGAGTGGCGGAGGGAGCGGGGGAGGGAGTGGGGGAGGGAGCGGGGGAGGGAGTGGAGGAGGGAGGGGGGAAGGGAGTGGGGGAGGGAGTGGGGGAGGGAATGGGGAGGGAATGGGGGAGGGAGCGGGGGAGGGAGCGGGGGAGGGAGTGGGGGAGGGAGTGGAGGAGGGAGCGGGGGAGGGAGCGGGGGAGGGAGTGGCGGAGGGAGTGGGGGAGGGAGTGGGGAGGGAGCGGGGGAGAGAGTGTGGGAGGGAGTGGAGGAGGGAGTGGGGAAGGGAGTGGGGGAGAGGGCGGGGGAGGGAGTGGACGAGGGAGTGGACGAGGGAGTGGCGGAGGGAGTGGGGGGGGGAGTGGGGGTGGGAGTGGGTGAGGGAGAAGTGCGGGTGGAGGGGGAGAGGGAAAGGGAGGTGGGGGAGGGTGGGCGGGGATTAAGTTGTGGCACAGGCACAAGCACGCATCTAGAGCTGAAATGTGTTGAGCGATGCATGCACGGATCAAGTACACGAGTTATGCCACCAGTGTGGTGCATGAGCATCATCAGACAACATCCCATCCCAACCCATCCCATCGCATCCCATCGCATCCCCTCCCATCCCTTCCTCCCCCACATCACCCGCGCCAGCACACCTGCAGCATGGAGTGAGCAGGCGACATGCCATTGTCCACAGTAACCCGCGCCACAGAGGGGGGGCGCTGGGAGGGGCCCAGACCCTCGGAGAACACAGGGGAGAAAGCCAGGTCAGACGAGTCAATCTCTAGCCCCGTGCCTGCTACTGATGCTGCCGTTAACCCTGATGATGCTGTAGATGCTGACGATGACGATGATGCTGATGCTGTTGAGATTGCCCGCATACCATCCGCTGCTGCTCCACTTGGTGCCGTTGAGACCTGTGGGATGGAAGGAGATGCAGCTGACGAAGCTGCTGCTGCTGCTGCTGCTGCTGACATCTCGCAAGACAGCTGCGACCTACCTCTGCTACCCGGCCCACCCACGCCCATACCCCTGCTCATGCTTCCTCCCGCTCCTACCGACCCCTGCCCCGCAACACCCAATCGACCAGCAACACCAGCACCGGCCGCAGAACCAGCAGCAGCACCACCACCAGCAGCGGCAGCACGTGCAGCAGCATCACTGGAGAAGAAGCTCCGAGGCGGACTGTTAGGGGGGGTGTTGAACTCACCTAGTAGAAACTTTTCCACTGCGTAAGGTATACACTCCGACACGCCCAGGCTCAGATCGGCTATGTCTGCCGCGTCAGCGCCAGTGGTGGGCGATATGGAACACACCACTGACTCACACTCGCCGTCCCTGCCGCCGCCACCACCCCCGCCACCCACACCAGCAACAGCAGCAGGGGCAGCAGCTAGGGACGAAGCAATGGCCCCGCTGCTGACACCACTCCTCCCGCCCTTCCCTCCTGCACCTCCTGCTGCTGCTCCTGTTGCTGCTCCTGCTGCCCTACCCCCGTACCCTGCTCCTGCCCCTCCCCCTGCGCCTGTGGTGCCAGGGGCGCCGGAGGACGCTAGCAGGCCCTTAGCGCCGCCTCTGCTGAGGCCTGAGAGGGTCAGGGCGTCTCTCACTCGCTCTATGATCTGATCCGACCGGTGCTTGCCGGGCAGTTCCTTGCTGCCCGGGGAAAAAACAAAAAGGAGGGAGGAGGGGGGGGGGAGGGATCGGAAAGAAATTAAAAGGAGGTACACTTGCAAATGCACACAACCCCACACGCCCACACGCACGGCCCCTCTCCCCTCCCCCCCCCCCACCTCCCCCCTCTTTCCTCCCTCCCAACCCCGCAGCCCAGGCAAGCAGCCCCCGTGTCTGACCGGTTGTCGGTGACGAAGAAGAAGTCGATGGCCTGGCCGTCCGGGCTGGTTGACACGTTGACGCGGTGAATGGTCAGCTCCAACTCCCACAGCAGCTGCGTCATGTCTGCATTGCCGTGCCCACGCCGAGCCCACACACACATGCATGCACACATGCACGCACACATGCACGCACACATGCACGCACGCATGCACGCACACATGCACGCACACATGCACGCACACATGCACGCACGCATGCACACACGCATGCAACACACATGCACGCACACATGCACGCACGCATGCACACACGCATGCACACACGCATGCACGCACACATGCACGCACACATGCACGCACGCATGCACACACGCATGCAACACACATGCACGCACACATGCACGCATGCATGCAAACATGCACGCACGCACGCATCCCACACGCATGCACACGCACATGCACACACGCAACACACATGCATGCACACACGCACGCACACGCACACACAAGCAAGGCGCAGAGAGAGGGAGTATGGATGGGCGGGGGGAGGGGGGGTGATGGGTAGGGGAAGAGGGAAAGTGGGAGTGGGGGGGGGGGGGGAAGGAAGCGGCAGAAAGTGGGTATGGGGAGTGCAAGGAGAGAGGATATCGAGGGAACAGGGAAGCATGTGGGATGGGGAGGCCAGAAGGCGGGGAAAACGGGGAAAGTGGGGCAGAGGGTAAGGTAAGAAGTGATGCAACACACACATATCAGGTGCTGGTTGTGGGGAAAAGCACTCACCATTCAAGAGGCCGCATCTGTCTGAAGCTTGCACCTGCAGCAGGAACACACGCGCAGCCGCCTTATTCACCCCCCCGCCACCACCACCACCCCCACCTAACGACACCGCAAGAGCGGAGGACGACGACGAAGGGCGGTAGGAACTAGACGAGGTGATTCCGTACGAGGGAAGACCGTAGGAATGGGCAGAGGAGGACGAGGAGGAGGAGGAGGATGAGGAGGCGGGGGAGGAGTGGGAGGGGCGGGAGAAGAAGACGGGTTCGGAGGAGGGGCAGGCGGCGAGGAGGCGGTGCTTGAGGAGCGACCACTTGATGGGCTTGTTCGAGCGCGTGCGCGGCACCACCCAGAACACCAGGAAGCACCACCGGCCATCCGTTGACAGGTCTACAGGTGCGGGGGGGACATGGGGAGCGGGGAAGGGAGGGCAGAGAGGGCAGGGAGTGTGGGAGAGGGGGAGAATAAGGAGACGGAAGGCGGGGGAGGGGAAGGAGGTAGAGAGAGCGGGGAAGATAAGAAGAAGGGCCGAGAACTGCGCGAGTGGGATAGGGGAGGGAAATGACAGCAGCTGCGCTGCTTCTGATCGCCAGCATCACCCCCGCCACCCGCATCAGTCCGACATACTCTCCCATTCCCGTTCCCCACGCACCACTCTGCACCACCCTGCACGGCTCTGCACGACTCTGCACCGTTCTGCACCTGTCTGCGGCCAGCCACGACTCACCGCCCTTGACGACGTTGAGCCCGAACTCGAACATGATGCGCGTGAGGTCGCAGCCCAGCCCCACCTTGTCCGGGCAGTTCACCGTTATCTCCGACGCCTCGCGCGGCCCCTGCCCCTTGCGCACCACCACCGTCTCGTCCGACGGTATCGCCACTGGCGCACGCGGTGGGGGAGGCGGGAGCGGGGGAAACGAGAAAGGGTGTGTGAGGGATGCACTTCAATTAGCACGTCTTTTAAGTGGAAAGATGCTATCGTGAGGGTACCAGAGAAGGTGTCAAAGACGTTGGAGTGGATCGAACAGGTTGGCTAGATTCACCTGCCATACTAATCGCGAGGTGCCCCGCATGTGTGAAACACCGATAAAAACAGCACATGCCACTCACTGTTGGACGCCAAGGCAGATGGATAGCTCGGTTCGGTTCGGTTCGGTTCGGAGGGCGAATCACTGGACGAGCAGTCTCGCGTCAAACGGCCGGCCGACCACGCAAGGCGCGTCAACACCGGAACCACGAGAGGACGTGAGGGGTAGATGCGGGTGATGGGAGACAGCAGCACGCAGGGGAGCCTAGGTTTGAGGCGCCTCAAAACGCGTCAACACCGGAGCCACGAGAGGACGTCAGCGGGAGATGCGGGTGATGGGCGACAGCAGCACGCAGGGGGGCCCGTCCAAGAACCAGGTTCGAACGATGAGAGTAGGTGACGAGTAGGGTAGTGGATGATGAGAGTGGTCTACGAAGAGAAGCGGGAGTTGCGAAGCGTGGCGCGACGTAAAGAACGTTGGTCTCAGAGCGAACGATCCTGGCGACTGAGCGGTTGAGCCGAGGGGCGAAAACTGGCTGAGGGATGGCAGTGAGGGGGGCCTTTGAGTCGCGACTGCGAAAACTCCCCGTGGAACGAGGCTCGAGGACGAAGAGCAAGGAAGCGAGAGCTTGAGAGTTACGGTGCGTGAGGATAAACGGTTCAAGCACACCTGACGGCCATGAATCTGCTTCACGAGGCGAAAAAGTTCTCTGCAGGTGGATCGGTAGGTTCAGCTCAACGCGTCGAGAAGCCGTTTCATAGCGTCGTGGCAGGCGGTGAGGCGAATACGCGAGCAGGAGACGAGTGCGCGGAGGAGGCGGCGGAGGAGGAGGGGGAAGAGACGGGCGGGAGAGCGCGGTTGCACCCAGCAGCGGAATGGAAGGGCTCTCCTGGATCCCTCAGCTGCATGCTGCTGCTGCTACACCAGGAGGAGGCGACGGACACGCTGAGAGTGGTGGGGGTGGTGGGGAGGAGCGAGCCACGAGGGAACGCCGCGTGGCGTCGGCTCGGCCTTAAGCAGGAATCCACAGGGGACGACGACGACGGCGACGGCGACGACTGCGACGACGGCAATGACGGCGACGACGCACAGCGGCGATCCAACGCGGCACCGCCGCGCTCGTTCCACATATCACAAGCCGCTTCTGCGAAGAGATTACCCCGAGATTCTAAAACGGATGAATGGTATTATTAGGAATGGTTTCCCCACCACTATTAGGAATGGTAGCGGTTCGGTAGATGCTGCTCAAGCTAAGCTCTGGGCAAATATCTTCAGCTTGAAGAACTCTCTTCCACCAACGGGAAGCGAAGGGGGAGTGAGCGAGGGGGGAGGAGGAGCCAGTACGGCGAAAGCTAAGGATCGGTAGGTGCAGGAGGAAAGCGACCCTTCGCTGACAGGGCGAGGAGGAATCTCGAGGGAAACTGATGGAGATTCCCCCCGCTCATGCCTGCCTGCCTGCCTGCTCTTGTGACCGTCAAATTCAAGGGACTAATTGAACCCCCGGCTCATTCAACCCCTGTCGCTGACGCTTTACCGTTTAGACTTGCTGCTGGGGCGGGGCCATTTCGGTGACAAAGCGGCCTGAGGTGCTGCTCCCAGGTTTGACGGCCGTCAGGTCTGTACTGTCTTGGATCTCAGGAGTCAAGGTTGCAAGCCAATGGGGAACGAAACGGAATTCAGGGGTTCCACTGACGTGCTGACAGAAAGAAGGCTGTCAGGTTCGGGTCAGTGAAAGTTTTGATTGTAGAACCCCGAGGGTGTGGCCATGACCACATTCAGTGAAGCTTGAATTCGACGGGAAACATAACATCAAATCGTTGAAAACGATGAACCTTTCCACCTAAGATACAGAAACTCGGAAGAACACCCACCCAATCTCGTGGAAAGACTTTTCCCTATCGCACCTTGTGCCGCGCACATGACGTGACGGCGGCCGCTCACAAATGGCCCAACAACTCCCGAGCTGATGTCGTCAGCATGGTAGATCTCGGCGTTTCTGGCAGCTTCGGTACAAGGAGTTGCGTATCGATAGCTGGAACCCGAGTGTTTTGTTGCATCTCCTATACAGCACCACAAAGCTGCCATGTAAGGAAAATCCCTTTTCCTTACTGGGCTCGACTACAGCATGTTCGTGCCTATAAATGCCTAGGCCCTCATTTGTATTGACACTTATTGGATCACGACTCCTTTATTACACTACATGTTATTACTCTGATTAATTCATAATAGCTGGTATCAGAGCCCCGTTCCTGCACGCTTAGTCTTCCGTAGAGTAGTCCGTTTATATCGGGAGAGGACCCGACAGGATAGAGGGTTGGCCAGCAGTTGGTAGGCGAGCTCGTTAAAGCTCCTCCAACTAAAAGCGTCTGCACCCTCAGATCTGCCAGGTAAATTTTCCAGCGTAACTACCATGACGGCAACCTCTACCCGTCGTAGTGTTAGGAACGTGACTCATGAGGAGTTTGACGAGTTGCAAGCCAGGGCGGCTACAGTAGCGACACTGCCGGCCCATCTTCAACAACTCGCCGATAAGTTCGAGTTGCTGGGAAGCGAAGTACATACGCTGCGCAACGAAAACTCGTCGCTTCGCCAGACGCGGCGTGAAACGCGTCAGGGGCGGCCTGTTACCAGAGACGAAGATGTTGCGAGCGAAGCGAGGGCGTCGGCGACACCTGAAGCAGTTGAAGAAGTCCACAGCGAGCCACGGGCGGCCATTAAAATCAAACCACCGATGCCTCCGCCGTTCAACCCGACCGACAGGACAACTACAGTGAGCGGGTGGCTGTTCGCCATGGAAATCTTCTTCACGGCATCAAGTATTAATGACAACGCATCACGTGTCAACTTGGCTGTGTTGCTGCTAAAGGGACCGGCACTCGACAAGTGGCGCATGCACCTAGACGAGGGAGGAGCCCTGGCAGGAAATCAACAGGCGGTAGATGGGGAGCTTAGTTCATCAACGGCGAAGGCAGAACCGATCTTTGGGTCGGCCACGATCCGCACGTGGAAAGCGTGGGGCGAAATGTTGAAGGGCAGATTCGAGCGCATATCCATGCGCGAAAATGCTCGCACAAAGCTTCGGATGTGTATACAGTTGGGCTCTGTCCAAGAATACACGGCGTCCTTTCTTACAAGCTGTGACCAAATCGGAGGGCTTAGCGAAAACGAACGCATCGATCGCTACGTGGGTGGTCTCAAGCCGGAGATTCAGCAAGAGATCGTCCTGCGAGCCTCGGCGACATTCAACGAAATAGTTCGCATGTAGCAGACGCGCTGGAGGCACGACGTGGACTCGCGAGAGCGGGGTTCCGGAAGGGAAATCGCTTTCGAGGCCAGCCCCAACACACATCAATCAACGGCGTGGACGTGTTTGTAGCCCGAGTATTTTCGGGGACCTGCGTCCACTACATCTAGCCAGGTCACATGGTGAGGGACTGCCCGTAGGTGAAGAAGAACTTACCTAACGACAAGAAGCAGTCAGGAAATGAAGATCGTCGGTAGCATATGGGCCACCTACTGACTTGACTGTGTCGCCCAAACGATACCCCATGTTATAGTGCCGATTTGGGCTATCGACCATTCCTGGCTGGATAAGGGGGGTGAACCGGTTGATCGCCCTATGCTGGTTGAAGGAAGAGTTGGCGACACCTGCATCAAAATATTCGTTGGTGGCAGGGCGAGTCACTGTTTGATGGACGTGACAAAGGCGAAAAATAGCGATTGCAGCTGGAGCACTGCATGCCCGAAATGGACGCGCGACTGGTTGACGGCACCACAAAATCGAGTTGGAGCCCGGCGCGCAACCTTCTGTTTGGACTCAATGGCGGCTGATTTAGCCCGAGCTGGATGAACTTCGACGACAATACTACTGCTCGAGAAAGGTTTCGTTCGCCCCATCACATCACCGTTTGCAACTCTGATCCTGTTCACCCCGAAGAAAGATGGCGGTCTACGAATGTGTATTGACTACCGCCCCTTGAACCGGGTTACCATCAAGTCTCGTTATCCTATCCCGCATGTCGGCGCACTCATCGACCAACTTCGCGGAGCCAAATTCTTCTCGAAAATTGACATGCGAGGCAGTTACCACCAAATCCGTGTGAACGAAGCTGACTACTACAAGACGGCATTTCGGATCCGGGGCGGGAGCTACGAGTACACGGCCTTTTGGCTTAACAAATGCGCCTTCGACGTTCCAGTTAACCATGAACAAAGTTTTTCGGCCACTGCTGGATAAATGCATCATCGTGTACCTCAACGACATAGTGATCTACAGCACTACCCGGGAGCAACATTTGAAGGATTTGACAGCACTTTTCTCTCTCTTGCAGTAGCACTGACTCATCACCAAGGGCTCTAAGTGCGAGTTTCTCAAACAGGAGCTAGAGTTTTTGGGACACGTCATTTCCATCGATGGTGTTAAAATCGACCCCAAAAAGATTGCGACCATCAAAGACTGGAAGCCACCGGCTAATCTCCGCGAACTTCAGAGTTTTCTGGGGTTTGTGAATTACGTCCGCCGGTTCATTCCGAACATGGGGGGGGTAACTTCCCCTCTTACGGATCTCCTGAAGAAGGGACAGTTTTATGAGTGGGGGGGAAAGCAGCAGGCTGCGTTCGAAAAGCTCAAACTTATCCTGACTACACCTCCGGTTCTTCGGATTGCATATCCTCACGGTCCGTTCGAGCTCATCATCGAAGCTAGCGATCTGGCCGTTGGCGTAGTACGATTACAAGACTTCGTTGAAGGCCTTCAACCTGTCGCCTACGAGTCACGAAAGCTGAACCCGGCCGAGCGAAATTATCATGTCCATGACAAGGAGTTACTCGCCATCGTTCACGCTTTCAAAGTCTGGCGCTGCTACCTGACGGGCGCTGACGTGACAGCCAGAATAGACCACAAATCGCTACAGTTCATCCGTGCCCAACCAACACTGAATCCCCGATAGATTCGCTGGCTTGACTACCTCGAGTCCAACTTCCACTACAGAGTCACCTACAAACGGGGGGTTAACAATTTCGCCGACGCACTGACCCGCCCTTCAGTCCACACCGTCGCCATCCTAATTACCCAAGATAATCCGTTGTTAACTGGCCTATTCACCCACGGATACAGTAGTGATCCATTCTTCACCACTAACAGTCACCCCCAACCGATGGACAAGCAAGGGGCCTATTACCTAAAATCCGGTACCAATCGGATTTGGGTTCCCACCTACCGTACCCTACGGGGATTACTGATCTAGGAGGCACATGACTCGAATTTCTTAGGTCACTACGGCATCGACAAAACCGCCAAATTACTGAGCCGTATTTATTACTAGCCCGATTTGCTGACAGATGTGCAGCAGTACGTCACCTCCTACGCCACGTGTCAACGCATGAAGTCTTCTCGGCTCCGACCTGCGGGATTGCTGCAGCCGCTCGAGCCACCCAACCGACATTGGCAACAAGTGACGATGGATTTCGTCACTGGTTTGCCAGCTGGTTCAAGCGGTAACGACGCGATTCTCGTCGTCGTTAACCGGTTGACCAAGATGGCCCACTTCGCCGCCTGCAAGACGACGATTACTGCCGCGCATATAGGGAAACTGTTCCTCATGAACATCGTGCAGCTACACGGCATCCATTCGGCAATCATCAGCGATCGTGACCCACGGTTCACGTCCAACTTCTAGAAAAAAATGAGGCAGCAGTACGGCACACGTCTGCATCTGTCCACGGCGTACCACTCGCAATCGGACGGTCAGGCTGAGCGCACAAATCAGATGATGGAGCAGCTGATTCGCACGACATGCACAGACCCGACCCAATGGGAAGATGCCATTCCCTTTATCAAGTTTGCGTACAACAACGCCCCATCGGCCACGACTACTCAATCCCCGTTCTTCCTTAATTATGGGATAGATCCGACAACCCCTCTATCGCCACCAAGATCTCAGCAGTTCGTCGAAAATCTCTGACAGTCTCCGCAAAAAGCCGCCGATGCCATCCTCAAAGCCAACCAGAGGGCTAAGCAGCAAGCTGACCGACGACGCCTAGACTTAACACTTGCCCCTGGGCAATCGGTCCTGCTCGACACCAGAAATTTGGGAATTCCCCTCCCAAATAAATTACGACAAAGATTTTGCGGCCCATTCCGTACCATTCGCATGGTGACATCAGTCACCGCCCAGCTGCAACTGTCGACCGACTGGCGAATCCATGATTCGTTCCACGTCAGTCTCCTGCAACCGTTCGTCACGAGTGCGACTAATCACGATCGTCAACACATCAATCCTACGGTCAACCGAGTACCCGAGCCAACAATCGAGCCATCCAAGATTCTTGTTCATCGCGTACGATGCCAGCGAGATACAGCGGCGGTTGATTTCCTTGTACGATGGGTCGATCGCACGACTGACGACGATCTTTGGGTCCCCGCACCTATGCTCGGCGAACACAAAGTCATCCGGGACTATTTACACCGACGACATGTCCCGGATGTGTATAGTCTCATCCCGAAAGGGGGGGGTGGTGTAAGGAAATTTCCTTTTCCTTACTGGGCTCGACTACAGCGCGTACACCCTCGACTCTTGGAAGTCCAGGCTCGGCCAACTTCTTCTGTACCGAACCATTTCGCGATCCCAAACCTCGACGCACAGCGCTTCCGTGGCTTTCGCCAACCAGACCGCCCCAACCTGTTCGCATGGTTCTCGGCTAGCTCTGTTCGTGCCTATAGATTCCTAGGCCCTCATTTGTATTGACACTCTTGAATCACGACCCCTTTATTACACTACCTGTTATTACTCTGATTATTTCATAACATGCCATTTGTTTGAGATTTTCAGAGTAATATATGAACTCTCGAAAACACCCGTCTATCAGTACAAAGCCTTCACACAATGGCGTAAGGGGTTCTCCGAAGCGGAGCAATCCCAACCTGAGTTGGGTTGGCTGCAGCACCCCTCCGAATTTCCTGCATTCCACCAAATTCAGGTTGCCTGCGGAGAGACCAATAGACTACACTAGCTGAGATACCTAATCTCTTCGTGCAGCATCCTCTCTGCTCTGTCCGACGAACATCCGCGGAGCAGCGAAAATCGCCGAGCCACGGTTACCGCATCCGCTTTCGTCTCATACTCGAAGCCCAAAAGGCCATGACGGGGAGGAAAGAGCGAGGAGGCGTGCCTCCAGCACTAGTGGTGGCGGCAGGTGTCGGTATGATGTGGTGGGCGTGGGCTATTCTCACTGGCTCCTCCCGCTCTTGGTGGCCGGGGGGGGACGATGACGCCGCGCGTGTGCCTCCCGCCAGTGACGTAAGCACCGCCCCCGCTACTGCTAGCGCCGCAATTGCTGGCGGAGCGGATGCGGGGGAAGGCGTGACGGAGGAGGGGAGTGCGGAGGAGGGGAGTGCGGAGGAGGGGAGTGCGGAGGAGGGGAGTGCGGAGAGGGGGAGTGCGGAGGAGGGGAGTGCGGAGGAGGGGAGTGCGGAGAGGGGGAGTGCGGAGGAGGGGAGTGCGGAGGGGGGGAGTGCGGAGGAGGGGGGTGCGGCGGGGGAGAAAGCAGATGAAAAGTAGATCTGGAAGGGGTCCGCTGAGAGCTGAAGAGATTGCTTGGGGTTGCGATGCGAGGGGAGGGAAGTGCAGTGAGTTGGTGGATAGGCGGAGGAGTGTGAGAAAAAACCTGTTGATGGGATGGGGTGTATTGTTTAGTAAAAAGGCGGAGGGGTGTGGTGTGGGAGAAAGGTGGCTGAAGAAGGCATGTGAAGATGGTGTTGCAGGATGCTCTAAGAGTGTAGCATTCCTGAAACTTTGGTTACAACTTCAATGGTAGATAAGGTTAAATCAGACAAGGCATGCCTAAGAAGAAGGGTTAACATGAGGAGCGTTCGTGTATATACATTTAGTGCACATCCGTCTGTGTGTGGTTGTTTCCATCCAAATGCTGTGTGGGGGTACATGATACATCTGTTAGCATCTCGTTGAGCTGTTCACTTGACAGGTTTCCTCTGTCAAACATGTTTATTGATCATGTTTGTATAGACTGTATAGGGTAACCTCCTAGAGGGTACAACATTTAGGTATATGTGCATGTACTCTCTAACTCTATCCTTTTATTCAATTCCTATTTTGTTATGGTATCACGCGTAGGTAGGATCCCCCCCCCCACCTACCGCTTCCGCTCATGCCCCCTAGCGCCCCTCCTGGGCCCCGTCGCGCTCCTCCCAGGCCCCCTAGCGCCCCTCCTGGGCCCCGTCGCGCTCCTCCCAGGCCCCGTAGCGCCCCGTAGCGCCCCGTCGCGCCCCTCCCAGGCCCCGTCGCGCTCCCCCCAGGCCCCCCTAGCGCCCCTCCTGGGCCCCGTCGCGCTCCTCCCAGGCCCCGTAGCGCCCCGTCGCGCCCCTCCTGGGCCCCGTAGCGCCCCTCCTGGGCCTCGTCGCGCCCCTCCTGGGCTTTGTAGCACCCCTCCTGGGCCCTGTAACGCCCCTCCCAGGCCCCGTCGCGCCCCTCCCAGGCCCCGTCGCGCTCCTCCCAGGCCCCCTAGCGCCCCTCCTGAGCCCCGTCGCGCTCCTCCCAGGCCCCGTAGCGCCCCGTCGCGCCCCTCCTGGGCCCCGTAGCGCCCCTCCTGGGCCTCGTCGCGCCCCTCCTGGGCTTTGTAGCGCCCCTCCTGGGCCCTGTAACGCCCCTCCCAGGCCCCGTCGCGCTCCTCCCAGGCCCCGTCGCGCTCCTCCCAGGCCCCCTAGCGCCCCTTCTGGGCCCCGTCGCGCTCCTCCCAGGCCCCGTAGCGCCCCGTCGCGCCCCTCCTGGGCCCCGTAGCGCCCCTCCTGGGCCTCGTCGCGCCCCTTCTGGGCCTCGTCGCGCCCCTCCTGGGCCCCTTAGCGCCCCTCCTGGGCCCTGTCGTGCCCCTCTCAGGCCCCGTCGCGCTCCTTCCAGGCCCCGTCGCGCTCCTCCCAGGCCCCGTCGCGCCCCTTCCAGGGCTTCGTAGCGCCCCTTCTGGGCTTTGTCGCGCCCCTCCTGGACTTGGTAGCGCCCCTCCCAGGCCCCCGTCGCGCCCCTCCCTGGGCCCCTTAGCGCCCCTCCTGGGCCCTGCCGCGCTCCTCCCTGGGCCCCGTAGCGCCCCTCCTGGGCCCCGTCACACCTGCTCGGCCCCGTCGCCCCAGCTCGGCCCCGTCGCAGCCGCTCGGCCCCGTGGCGCCCGCCCGGCCCCTGTCGCCGCCGCCCGGCCCCTGTCGCACCCGCCCGGCCCCGTCACGCCCGCCCGGCCCCGTCGCCCTCGCCCGGCCCTGCTGTGTCCTGCCCGGCCCCGTCGCAGCCGCCCGGCCCCGTCGCGTCTGCCTGGCCCCTCGTCGCGCCTGCCCGGCTCCGTCGCGCCAGCCCGGCCCCGTCGCGCCTGCTCCGGCCCTCCATACTTCCTGGTACTGTCCCCCGTTCCTCGCGCCGCCTTTGCACCCTCCTGCACTTCCCTGCCCCGCCTTGCACCGCATTGCACCTCACTGGACCGCACTGCACCGCACTGCACCGCACTGGACCGCACCGCACCGCACTGCATCGCACTGCACCGCATTGCACCGCCCTGCACCGCACTGCACAGCACTACACCGCACTCCACCGTCCTACACTGCCCCTGATGGCTGCTGAGCTTCGTTTTGATGCTGAGGGTCAGCCTCTGGAGTTCGAGGCGTGGTTGGCTGACCTTCGCCGCCACCTCACTGGTCAGCGGTAGGACTGCCACCCGCTTTCTGCCCACCTAGACGGTATGCTCCCCTGCCCTGACCCCCCTGCTGTGCTGCCCGCTGATCCCACGCCCGCTGAGCGCGAGTCCAATGCCGCCGCTGCCCTTGCCCGCTCTGTCTGGCTTTCCCGCGATGCCCTTGCTCAGCTCGCCATTAGCAATGCCCTCCCCCCCCCTGAGCACCCTCGCTTTAGAACCATTACTACCGCCCAGGCCTACCTCGATGCTGTCATCAAGCGCTATTCTACCCCTCCTGCTGCCTCCGTGGGTCGCCTGATCCTCCCCCTGCTCTTTCCTGACCTTGCGTCTTTCCCCACTGTCTCTGACCTCGCTGCCCACCTGCGCTCGATAGATGAGACCTGGCGCGCTGCCTGCACTGATGCACAGCTTAGAGTCCACCAGCCTCCCATGACCTCTACCCTCTACCTCCTTGCCACCCGCCTCCCTGACCGCCTTGCCGCCGCCCGCGACCAGTTCCTTAGCATCCACCCCGCTGCGCTCACCCTCACCGACTTTGTTGACACCCTGACTGTTATAGAGACTCGTCACCGCTCCATCGCTCAGGCGAGCGGTACAGTACCGGTCCCTATCTTTCAGGGTTGTGCCCCCGCTCAATGTACCTTCTCCGACGGCTCTGTCGCTGTGGCTGAGACTGCTGCTGCAGTGCAGTCCCGCTCGGGGAAGGGCCGCCGCCCCAAGGTTGGGAGCGGCGGAGGCGGCGGGGGTGCGGGTGGGGGTGGTGGTGGAGTCGGGTCGTCCGGTGCCGGTGCGGACGTGGGGACCCTGCCCAGTCCAGCTGCCCCGCTGCCTCCACAGTCGCAGCAGCCGCAGCAGCAGCAGTCGCCGCAGCTGCAGCCTCCGCAGCAGCCGCAGCAGCCGCCGCAGACGAGGCAGGCGAGTGCTCTCCCGCCTGGGTGGCCTGGAGCTGGTGGTGGTCGTGCGCGTGGTGGTGCGCCGGGTGGTGGTTCTGGAGGCGGGCGCTGTCAGTACCAGATCCAGACCGGTCCTCGCCGCGGCTTCGTTTGCGGTAAGATCGGTCATTCCACTCCTCGCTGTTTTCGTCGTCTGGACGACCTGTTCCGTCAGCGCTTCGGCCCGGCGCCCGACCTCCCGGACTGGCATAGCTTGCTTAGGCGTAGCATTCAGATTTTTGACTTGGACATGGATGCCATTGTAGCAGCCTTGCATGTGATGTATGCTGATGACTCTAGTGTGCTTCCCTCTTATTACCCTGTGTTGCCTAGTGTAGATGTGCCTAGCGTAGACTCCCCTGCTGCGTCAGGCGTAGGATCTCCTGCTTTGCTTAGCCTCGGTGCTTCCACCGCTTCACTGCCGCCTCGCGCGACTGCTGCGCTTTCCTTCACCTTGGACTCTGGCGCCTCCCGGTGTTTCTTCCGCGACTCCACGACGCTGACGCCGCTGCAGTTACTCTTGCTGACCCCTCCGGTGGTCCCGTCGTTGCCCGCAGTTCCACCTCCCTTCCCTGTCCGGCGGTTCCTTCAGGTTCGCTCACAGGTCTGCATATCCCCTCGTTCTCCAGGAACCTAGTTGGTGTCGGCTGCCTCCAGGACCTTGGCGTCACCACTACGTTCCCTGGTCACGAGCGGTATGCTGTCTGTACCGAGGCCGCCACTGGTGTCCCCCTTACCACTTTCCCCCGGGACCCGGTGTCCGGCCTGTTCACACTTGACACCGCGACTTCCCCGGCTGGGTCTTCCCCCCAGGTCGCTGCGTCCACCCAGGTTGCTGCTGCGTGCTCCTGTCGGTCCCTCACTCACCCGACTCTCCTTTGGCACCACCGCCTTGGTCACCCTGCACTCCCGCGTCTGCGTCACATGTCCCAGCACGGTCTCGTCCTTGGTCTCCCCGGTTCGTTCCCCGAGTTTCCCTCCTCCCCCGCCCCCCCGTGCACGCCTTGTGTCGAGGGCCGGCTCCGCCGTGCCCCTCACTCCTCCTCGTTTCCCCCTACCACCGCACCACTGCAGACTCTGCACATGGACGTCTGGGGCCCAGCCCCGGTCCATGGGCCGCGTCGCGAGCGCTTCTTCCTAGTGCTTGTCGACGACTTCACGCGCTACACCACCGTCTTTCCCCTGGAGCGGAAGGCCGACGTGCCTAACGTTCTCATCCCCTGGCTTGTCTCTGCTCGTGTCCACCGCGGTCTCCCTGCCTTGCGCCTCCACTCCGACCGGGGTGGCGAGTTTGCCTCAGGTGTCCTTGGTCGCTTCTGTCGTGCGGAGGGCATCACCCAGACGTTTACCCTGCCGGACTCCCCGCAGCAGAATGGGGTCGCTGAGCGACGCATCGGTTTGGTCATGGAGGTGGCTCGCACCTCTATGATCCACGCCGGTGCACCCCATTTTCTGTGGCCGTTCGCCGTGCGCTACGCCGCTCACCAGCTTAACCTGTGGCCGCACCCCCAGCGGCCGCCGGTTTCGCCGACCCTTCTGTGGACCGGGTCCCCTGGTGACGCGTCTGCGTTCCACGTCTGGGGCTGCCTTGCTCACGTTCGTGCCTCTGGCACGGACAAGCTCACTGCCCGCACCCTCCCCTGCGTCTTCCTCGGTTTCCCTCTTGACGCGTCCGACTGGCACTTCTACCACCCGCCGTCTCACCGCTTCTTTCACTCTCGCGACGTCACCTTTGACGAGTCCGTCTCCTTCTACCGCCGCTTCCCCCACGCGTCTCGTCCTCCCCTCCTCCCGTCTCCTCCTCCGTCCTCTCTTGTCGTTGCGTCTCCTCCTCTGTCTGACTACTTTCGTGCCGCTCGTCCTCTTGTTCCTCGGGTCCTTGCCTCTCTGGTTACAGACCCGTCTGTTCCAGTGTCGAGTCTTGACGCCCTTGTCGCTGCGGTCGCTGACTTCGCCTCTACCCGCCGTCTTGACTACGCTACCGCTCTGGTCTCTGACCCTGCCTGTCCTCCGTCTGTCGGGGGTGCTCCTGCCCTCGGCAGTGACGTCCTGGAGGACCGCCAGTTTGAGCTTGCTTTCCTCTCCGAGGCTGCTCCCCATCTCTGTTCCATGCTGCTAGTCCCTGAGGGTGACCCAGACGCTTTCGACATCCCGACCCCTCGTACTTACACTGAGGCGGTTTCGGGACCCTGGGCCTCTCAGTGGATAGCTGCCATGGAACAGGAGATGGCATCTTGGAGATCCACCGGCACCTTCGTCGACGCAGTTCCCTCACCTGGCGTGAACGTGGTCGATGGCGGTTGGCTCTTCAAGGTGAAGCGCCCTCCTGGAGAACCGCCTGTGTTCAAGGCGCGCTACGTGGCTAGAGGCTTCAGTCAGCGCGAGGGGGTGGACTTCTTTCAGACTTTCGCTCCTACGCCGAAGATGACTACTCTTCGGGTTCTGTTACACGTAGCGGCTCAGCGTGACTACGAGCTTCACTCCCTCGACTTCTCCACTGCCTTCCTTCAGGGCAGCCTTCACGAGCACGTCTACCTGCGTCGTCCTCAGGGCTTTACTGGCACTTTCCCCCCTGGGACCCAGTGGCTTCTGCGGCGCCCAGTCTACGGCCTGCGCCAGGCCCCTCGTGAGTGGCACGACACGCTGCGTGCTACCCTTGCTGACCTGCAATTCTTTCCGTCCTCTGCAGACCCCTCGCTCTTCGTTCGTGCTGGCCCGACTCCGTTCTACATCCTTGTCTACGTAGACGACCTGGTCTTTGCCACAACAGACAGGGACGCACTGGCCTCCGTGAAGGCAGAGCTGCTGAAGAGACACACCTGCACTGACCTTGGAGAGCTGCGCCGTTACCTTGGCTTGCAGATCTCCAGGGACAGAGCCGCGCGCACCATCACCCTGACTCAGTCACACTTGGTGCGCCAGGTCCTTCAGAGGTTCGGCCTTCAGTTCTCCTCCGCACAGCCCACCCCTCTTCCTCTGGACCACAGACTCTCCGCTCCAGTTCCTGAGGAGTCAGTAGATCCCAGTGGTCCTTACGCTGAGCTAGTGGGTTGCCTCATGTACCTGATGACTTGCACTCGCCCAGATCTCGCATACCCTCTCAGCATCCTGGCTCGTTTCGTGGCCACAGGCAGACACCGACCTCAGCACTGGTCTGCCGCTAAGAGGGTTTTGCGTTATCTTGCAAGTACTTCGGGCATGGGGTTAGTGCTAGGCGGACGCAGGCCAGTGGTCCTTACTGGACACACAGACGCGTCTTGGGCAGACGACGCCGAGACGCTCAGGTCGTCCCAGGGCTACTGTTTTAGCCTTGGCTCAGGTGCTGTCTCGTGGAGAGCTACCCGCTCCTCGTCTGTTGCCCAGTCCAGCTGTGAGGCTGAGATCTACGCCGGTGCCATGGCGGCACAGGAGCTCCGCTGGCTGACCTTCTTGCTCACTGACTTAGGTGAGCGGCCTAGCTCTGCCCCGGTCTTGTACGCTGACAACAGGGCCATGATCCTCCTGTGTCAGGAGCCTCGACTCGAGGGCAGAGCGAAGCACATCCAGCTGCGGTACTTCCTCCTGCGCGAGCTACAGCAGCGTCGCCAGGCTCGCGTAGTACACTTGGCCTCCGGTGCCAACACAGCTGATATCTTTACGAAGGCGCTTGCGCCTAAAGATCATCAGCGGCACTGTGTACAGCTCGGTCTCGTTCCTGTAGTCCCTCACTTACTCGGGCCTTGACTTTGTACTGTCCTATATATATATGTGTACACTCAGACTGGACTTGTGTCCTCTCACAGTGGTTGGACTAGTAGTGCCGCCCTGTACTTGTTCTTGTCTTGTCTGTACTCCTTCTGACTGGTCTTTTAGACCCTTGTCTCAGAGGCTGGACTAGTAGTGCCGCCCTGAGCTGCATGTCTAGGACATTCCCCTATGCAGTCCAGGGGGTGTGTCAAACATGTTTATTGATCATGTTTGTATAGACTGTATAGGGTAACCTCCTAGAGGGTACAACATTTAGGTATATGTGCATGTACTCTCTAACTCTATCCTTTTATTCAATTCCTATTTTGTTATCCTCTACTGTCACTGAACATGTATTGTAGAGCCAACTAGAGAAACGAACGGACCGTAAGGCGCCTTATGTGGAGCACCCCTTGCAATGCAACCTTGTGGCATGCTTTCCTTACTGTAAGGGTACGTAGGAGGTGCCATCCTCGACCGTCATTCCACGCACACCCACACATCGACACATACACCGGCTCATACTCATTGAAGCACCAACCACTATGACTTCATTCATTACTGTGTTGTGTACATCAGGAAATACATCCGTAGTACTGTACAGCATCATCTCATCTCCTTCCCAACCAGTTCCATCTGTCTCAACCTCTGAATCACATCTGCACTAGCAGCACCCCTCCCACGGGTAAGCCCACCACCACCACCACCACCACCACTACCACCACCACCCCCCCACCCTTCAATAACACCCATCCCTTCGCCTCCCCCACCAATCTCACCTCTTCCCCTGCCTTCTCCCTTCGCCCCACTGGTCCCCACGCCCTTGCCCTGGCTAGTCATCTTACCGGTATGTGGGCTGTTACTAGCGCTTGGAATAGTTACCCTGCTAGTCTCTCTTCTTCCCTGTGCACTGCCCCTGCCACTCCCCTTCCTGCCACTGCCACTGCTCACTCCCCCCTGCTTCCCTACACTCTCCGCCGCCCTCCCACACACCAGGCATTGCAGGTCCTCCCCTCTCTCCTCATACTGCTCATAGAAGCAAGAGGAGGAATGAGGTGTGGAGGGAGGGGAGGGTAGATGGGCGGCAGCAGAGAGGGAGAGGCAGGAGAAGTGGAAGCCATGGTGGCAGAAGAAGACAACAAACGGGCCCTCCAACGAAGCTGCCCTTTCCAAGCACACACAGCACCGCCCACTCCCCCCCAACACCTCCCTTCCTTCCTCTTCCCCCTGCCCTCCTCTCCTCCTTCTCCCCCTCACCACTCCACCCCTCCCTTGCCCTTCCTCCCCACCTGCTCCCCCCCCCTCATCCCCTCACCTCTCCCCCCCTCCTCCCCCACGCCTTCCCCTTCACCCCAATCAGGCGAGCCGGCAAACACCCCTGCCGCACCCGTGGCGTCGACGATAGCCAGGAACGAGTCCAAGGATACATCGGCAGCTAGGGCTTGAACGGGGGCTGAGTCTAGAACAGCGTCTATGGCGGTGACGGCCCCTTGGAAAGCTCGTTGTGTGTGTGCTGCTAGAGCAGGAAGAGAGTCAAGGAAAGGTGAGGAGGATGGGAGGTCGAGAGGAGTGGGAAGGGAGGAAAGAGGTGTGGTGATGGCGCTGGTGGCAGTGGTGGTGGGGTTGCCAGTAGCACCTGCTGCTGCAGCGGCTGCCGCTGCTGCTGCTGTGGTGGCAGCGTCATAGGCAGCTGCGGATACAGAGGAGAGGAGGGCGAGGGGGAGTGAGGGGTGCTGCTGGTGGTGCTGGTGGTGGTGGTGCGGGGAGAGGGGAGGGGAGAGGGTGGTGTGTGCCACGAGGCAGCGGACGGAGGCGCCCACTCGAATGCCCTTGACGGCCTCCCTGCACTGCTTGGTGAAGAGAGCTGTTATGTCCGCCTGGAGGCACAGCAGACACGTGCGGGGGGGCGAGAACGAGTGTGAGAATGTGTGCGAGAGGGCCGTGAGGGAGTGTGTGTGTGGAAGAAGTGAAAGACAGGATTCGGAGCTTGAGAGGGAAAGGAGGGACGCGTAACAGGGGACTGAGATGGGAAGAATTTGAGGGAGGGAAGGAGAGGCTGCTATTGGGAAAGGGGGTGGAGTCGGGTGGACTAGAGAGCGTGGGCGGACGCGACAGTACAACAGAGAGACAGGAAATAGCGCATTTAAAAAGGTATGATTAAAAGAGCTTGCATGTTTGTAAAAGGCGGTGGTATGAGGAGGAAAGAGAGAAACGGACCAGGAGGAGTCGGAAGCAGCCTTGGGAGAGGGCGAGTTGGGTGGTTGTGGCAGACAGCACACTCACAAGCCGCTGCTTCAACCTGCACACCGCACCGGGTGCACATGGCAGAGACATGGCAGAAAGAACTTGGTTAAGGAAGCGGAGGGCGGGGGATGTTGGGGGCCAGTCGCAATGCACCATTTCTCAAACCGAGCAAGTGACATCGCAGCCATTCGCCGACATGGGAACACATGGTTAAGAAGGAACGACGACCACAAGAGGCGATATAGGATGGGGATGTGATGCGCTGGGGCAACGAGCCGGAGCAGCAGCAGGATGGCAGTACCGGGGAATGGGGTGTCCTGGCATGGCTAGCTGCACAAGGTGAATGGCGTCCAAGCCAGGCAGGGCACGGTCAAAGAGCGCCGCTAGCTGGGGGGCGGAAGGGGGGGCCATGGGGAGAGAGGGATGGGGATGGGGGGAAAGAGATGGGAATGGGGAGAGAGAGGTGGGCATGGGGCGAGAAGAAGAGGAGAAAAGACGAAGAAGAGTACAGGAGAAGTAGGGAGGCAGTGGTGTGTGCCGAGGTAAGTCAAGGAGCCATGAGAGTGACAGACACGGGAGACGGGTGGGGGGTGGAGGTCTTTTGAGGCGCCTCGAGAGTGACAGACACTGGAGACGGGGGGGGTGGAGGTGCAGCGAGAGGAGGGGGTGAGAGGGGAGAGGGGCGGAATAGACAAGAGATAATATGCAAACCATGGGCTGGTGGCAGTGGCAATGGGCTAGCACAAGGGGGATGCCAATCAACGAGGCATCAACGTGTGGGTGGTGATGCGATTGAGGACTGGAACTTAGAGAGAGGCACGCAGGGGGTGTTAACATTGTAGGGTTGCGAAAGTCAGAGCAAGAGAACAGGAGTGAGCAAGAGGGAGGCAGGGTAGTGTACGATGGTGGGGTTGCAGGCAGCTCTCTCGAGCAGCACGTCCCACAGCGACTCATCGCCACTCTCACACACCACGTCTAGAGCCTGCACCGCACCATGGAGAGGGGGGGGAAGTGAGGGGGGGGGAAGCAGGAGGGAGTGGAGGGCGACATTGGGGTGGGGGGGGGGGTGTGGGGGGTTGAGGTGGGAGGGACTCTGGAGAGTGCATGGGTGTGTGTCCTGGGGGTGAGGTGAGCGCTAAAGTAGATCCGGTTGCAACAAGGGGGAACGCGGAAGTTACGAGAGCACTGCTTCGCCCTCCTGGAAATGCATGCCAAGAGGGGGCAGTGGGAGCAGACACGGGTAAAGCAGCGAGCAGTGAGTAGCGAGTAGTGACTGATGACTGCAGGAAAAATTGTCACACGGACAGACACGCCGTGTCCATTGAGATTCAATGACAGAGACGCGCGTCTGTCAATTGAGATTCAGCCACAGTTGTGGCGGTGTTCGATACCATCACCGGGTAAAAAACGGATGTTAAAGGACCTCAAAAGCAGATAAACTGCACAGTACGTCACCTGGTCAGCATCACACCTGGTCAACGTTTTCAGCGCGGTCGATGCAGAGCGCCATGGCGGCGGCATGGTTGCCCATGCGCTGCAGCAGATACACCATCGCATCCGTCTCGCCCCGCCGCTCACACACGCGGTACGCCTGATCTCAGTTGGTTGGTTGGGGGTGAGGGGTGGGTGGGGTGACGGGGGACGAGGGGCGAGAGGAAGGGGTGGGGCTCCTTGAGTCGACTAAGAAGTTGAATCGACTCAAAACGCATCCGTCTCGCCCCGCCGCTCACACATGCGGTACGACTGAGGTCAGTGGTTGGTTGGGGGTGAGGGGTGGGGAGAGAGGGGGCGAGAGAGGGGGGGACCCTTGCAGTGTATACCCTTGCAGAGAGGAGGCTGGTACACCGTCGTATCCGTCTCGCCCTGCCAGTCACACACGTGGTACGTTAGAGGTCAGACAGTTACAGCAGGAGGAAGGGGGACAGGGTGCAGAGGGGGCGGGGGGGAAGGGGGGAGGGGGAAGAGGGACAGGGAGCAGGGCACGGGAGGGGCAGATAGTGTGAGCGGCAGACGAGAGGAAGGGGATTGGGCAGTGCATTGCAGGCTGACGCCAGTGCTGTACGCCACTGCTGGACGCCACTGCTGGACGCCATTGCTGGACGCGCAGGTCAGGGAAGGAAGAGAATCGAGGTACCGTACCATGTCAAGGGAATAGTTGGTGGTGCTGTGCAGGAAAGGCAGGAGATTGCGGGGGTCCAGCATGGTGTAGAGGAGTAGCTGAGGGTGGGAGGCGGAGAGAGGGGAGGAGACGAGAGCGAGCGGGAGTGTAAGGGGAGATTACCAGAGTGGGCTTCTGTGGGATGGTTGGGTCGGAATGCTAGTGTGATGGGAAAAATGGCAAGCAAAAGTGATACGGTATGTGTTGTGGCATGTGTTGCATTGCATGTGACATGGCATGGCATGAGGCATGTGGCATGGCATGTATGCCAAGACCAAGCCTTCTCACCTGAATGGGATGCCATGGTTGCGTGAGCTCAGCATCGGTGACAAACAGGTGGTGCAGATACATGTTTAGCAACGCCCCCACCGCTCTACACTCGAACGCTGCCCCTTGCTCCTCCCCAAGCATCCCCCTCACCATCTCCCTCTCCTCCCCCACCACCCACCACCTCCTCCTCCCTTTTCTCCTCCTCCCCTTCTCCTCTCCTCTCCCTCCTCCCTCCCCTAATGTTCCCTCTCGCCCCCCTCCATCCGCCCCTGCTTCCTCTCCAAAATCACCACCTCCGTTCTCACTCCTCCCTACGTCCACCTCACACTCACACCACAACGCCCCCCCTGCTCCATCCACTCCTCCCCTCTCCCCCTCACCATCATCCCAAGCAGCGTGGCAGTCCGCCTCAACCCCTCCAGTCCCTCTCACCCCTGCTCCTAACTCACACCCACCCCCTACACTCCCTTTGCTTGCCTCTCTCCCTTCACCCACCCCTGCCTCCCCCCTACCTCCCTCCCCTTCTCGCACTTGTGAGTCCCCCAGACCCCCTTCCACCCCCAATCCCCCTTCCTCCCCCCGTCTCTGGGTGTCGTGTGCGTGTGCTCGCAGCAGGTGAAGGTGGGGGAAGAGGGAGGAGGGGGGCAGCAGAGAGGGGTTGTGGGCGAGGAAGAGGAGGATGCGGGGGGCGTCGAGCTGCAGTAGCAGGGGCAACTGAAGGAAGGGCACGTGGGGGTGGGGTGGGGAGGGGAGGGGAGGAAAAAAATGGGAAAAAGGAGCAGGGACAGAACATTGGTAGGGGACGAGGAGAGAGGGAGGATGAGGGCGAATGTAGTGGCGGTGGTGGTGGTGGTGGGGAGACTTGAGCTGCTTAGCTTAAGCTTGCACATGTGAACTGCGCCAATGATTGGGAGGGACACGAGGCTTGGGAAGATGAAAGGACGGATGATCAGGGGCCTAGGAAGATGCACATGCACGGGAGCACGGGAGCGGGAGGATGAGAGGATGGGAGAGAGGATGGAGGCGCGATTGTGTAAGGGCGGCAACAGCGCAGCAGGGCAACAGCGCAGCAGGGCAGCATGGCAGGTCAATCCAGTAGACTTGCACAAGGAGGAAAGGGAATGAGACAGCTCGAGGGAGCAGGAACGGAGGAGATCGGGGGAGATCCGGGCAGAACAATCATGTGGACGATGAGGAAAGCAAGGGAAGGAAGTGGCACACCTGGGAGGCGATGAGAGGAGAGAAGGGGTGGCAGGAGATGAGGTGGAACACAGTGTCCGTGCGCGAGGTGTTGGCTCGGTCTGATAGCGCTGCCTGCATAGAGGAGTAGGGATGGATCGAACGCGGGATGCGAGGGGAGAGAGGGCGTGATGGAGAGAGATGGAGTGAGAGATAGAGCGAGAGATAAAGTGAGATAAAGTGAGAGATAAAGTGAGAGATAAAGTGAGATAAAGTGAGAGATAAAGTGAGGGATAAAGTGAGAGATAAAGTGAGGGATAGAACCACAGGATCACAGCATGAAAGGAAAAGCCGAGTCTGCTTCTTCTTACTTCTGAACTAAAATACAGGCATTCTTAATTATCCAGGAAAGCACTGAAACCAGTGGCAGCAAGGGGTAGTGGCAGTACCAGAGTGTAGTAGTGCAGGGCATCTGGAAAGCGCTGCGACCGCATGCAGAGCTCTGCTATTGCCTGCCATGACGCACAGGGAGAGCAGGGAGGGCGGGGAGGGAGGGGAGGGAGGGAGATGGAGGGAGATGGAGGATGAACCAAAGCACGGGCTGGCATGGTATGATTAGAGAGGGCCCACACCACATGGTCCACGGATCATGCATGACGGGTGCTGTATGCTACATGCTGTCGATGAAACCTGTTGAAAACAAAAAAAGAAGACGACGAACAAGAAGAAGAAAAATTCTGTCGCATTTTCTCCCATCCCCATCCTTCTCCTGCCCTCCCATCCCCTCACCTCTAGAAGGGGCGTAGATGCCTGTCCCTCCCACGCCCTGCCCCCCTGCGTGAGAGCCTCATGGCGCTGAACAGCCTTGGCGAGCACAGCGGGCATGGAGTAGAGGCGGTGGGGCCACGTGCGGATGGAGGAGAGGAAGAGAGGGTGGTCGGGGGGGGAGAGGAGGAGGGACGAGAGCACCATCTGCTCGGGAAGGGGGATGGGGGGAGAGGGGGAGGAGGGAGGGGGGAGTGGGTAGAGGGGGGAGGGGGAATAAGAGGAGGACGGAGGTGTGTCCGTGCGTTAGGAGGTCATGTGCAGATGGGTGCAGGAGGGGAAGGGAGGGTGGTCCATGGGGGCGAGGAGGAATGAGAGAGCAGGGAGCAGCAGGAGAGAGCAGGGATCAAGGACCTCGTAAACGGCTGGGCCCAGTTGGGGCGAGTCGAAGGGTATGTGCGGCACAAGGGCTGGTAGACAACGCATCTGAGCAAAGGTGAACACCCACCTGCAGACAGGCAGGGCGGGCGGGCGGGCGGGCGGGCGGGAGGGAGGGAGTTAGGGAGGGAGGGAGGGAGGTAGGGAGGGATGCGGAGGGAGATGGTGGTGGATGGGGGAAAGAGAGGGATAGAGATGGAAATATTAGGCGTTTCCTAGGGGTTTAGAACGGAAATAGGCTAAGTTGTAAAAGAACTATTCCTGCACGAATAAGGCAATGCAGGGTAGTACAGGGCAGTGCAGGGCAGCGGCGCGTCAGCGAAACAAAGAACGGAAAGACGGGGATGTGAAATGAAGGAAGGAGGGCAGTGCAGCGAGGGGAGAGGGGAGCCGTGCAGTGACTTTGAGTGAGGGGAGGCCTGATCAGAAAGGGACAAGGGAGGAGTCACAAGCACAGACGGGCCTCTCCCAAGCACTGCCGAGTGACACTACACCTGACCTCTCCCAAGCGGTGGTGTTGGATCCGAGCAGCTTGGGGCAGAGAGCAGCGGCCTGAGAGTACTTGCGCTGCAGCACCAGGTGGTCCAGGTACCGCCACCCCACCTGACAGGAAAAGGCAGAGGGCAAGACGGGGAGCAGGTCAATTACTTTGACTCAGAGGGACGCACTGAGGGGAATGAATGATTTGAAGGGGACCGAATCGAAGGGGAGGAGAGGATCGGTTGGTGATTGAAATGGGGAGTGAGTGCGTGCGTGCGTGCGTGGGTGGGTGCGTGCGTGCGTGCGTGCGTGCGTGGGTGGGTGGGTGCGTGGGTGCGTGCGTGCGTGGGTGGGTGGGTGCGTGCGTGCGTGATCCCCTACGCACGTGATTCATTGACATGCACATGAATGAAGCCGTGACAGCAAGACATGAATGCAGCGGGAAGTCCAACGTCCTCCAACGTACTTCCAAGGCACGAGCCACCACGCAACGGGGCACCGCCGCAGCTCACCTATCAGCTCTGCTCACTAATCCCGAACCCTAACTCGCCTCTCCTGCTGCTCTCCCTTCTCCTGCTGCTCTCACCTCCCTTGCTGCTCTCCCCTCTTCCGCTGCCCTCACCTCACCTCTTGCACGAGTCTGTTCTCTGCAACCACATCTCCGTTCCGACCACCCGCACTCTCCCCCAACCCCTCCCCATCCTCCTCCCCACTGAATGCCCCCCTTCCCCTCTCCGCCCCTGCTCCCCCCCCTCCTCTGCCCCGTGCCGCCTTCTCTGCCGCTTTGAGCGCTGCCTGCACCTTGCCGTGGGCAAGCAGCCACTGCACATGGTCCTGGGCGTCGCTGGGGGGAGAGAGGAGGGGGGCGGGAGAAAGGGAGAGAGAGAGGGACACGAGAATCAGAAAGAGGGGAGAGGAGATGGGTGCATACCGCCTGCACCTTGCCGTGCGCCAGCAGCCACTGCACATGGTCCTGGGCGTCGCTGGGGGAGAGAACGGGATGGCGGGAGGAAGGGAGAGAGAGAGGGACACGAGAATCAGGAGGGGAGCAGGAGGGAGCGGAAGCGGGGAGGAGGAAGCGGCCGAGTTGCGATTAAGCCTGCAAACAAATATCACTGGTTTCGGATTCATATTCGGTATTCGACAAATATAAAATACAAAACGAATCTGACATCCTGAAGCTATTCGACAGTATTCGACACTCAAATATTCGCGAGTTCCGAATATTCGACTCTCAAATATTCCATATTCGGGAAAATATTCGTATTCGTGTGAGTCTACCACCATACATCTCCCCGACTCCCCTTTCCTCTCAAAATCGGCAGCGCAGTATAAGCGAAATCGGTGAAATCTGAAGGTCGCGCTATTTGCTGATTGCGGCCTCCATAAAAGGAATCAATCGTGGACAAAAACGAAAACAGGATTCTTGAGCATGGCATGTTGTTCCATAAATAACCTGCCAGAATCACAGCTACTTCGACAATATGCCAGGAGTGGAAGTGATTGGGGAGGGGGGTAATAGACTATCAAGGTTAGAGGGGCTATTTCTATCTCGGTCTTCGGTGGGAAGCCCTAGAAGACACTCGAAACCCTGTTCTGACCACCTATTCGTATTCGATTCCGTATTCGTCGTCAAACACAATATTCGAACCGTATTTGTATTCGAATAGGAAGTGGTATTCGATCAAATACGAAAATACACAAGTATTCGACAAATACTGTTTTTTTCCTGCCGTATTCGATACCGTATTCGTTTTTGCAGGCTTAGTTGCGATGGTGGCTAAGGGCCTGAGGGAAAGGCTCAGGATCAGGGGGAGGAACAACTTGGCGCAATTATTGGCCCCCCATATAAGTTGGGATGACCAAATTAATGGGGGGTCCAGAAATCCTAGACAGGATTATTGGAGGAGCGAATTATCTTGGTTGGGATTGAGAGGCCCAAACTTTGGGGGGCCAAATCATGGCCAAGGGAGGGAAAACCACCCTTTTCGGATCGCAGCCCCTAACTAGGGAAATTACACCCTAGTTATAATTTGATGCTTATGACTACCCAAGAATACTAAGCTATGTAGGATAAGGCAAGAGGGCTGTATTCTAACGCTGCTGGCCCCTGCTGGCCCCTGCTGGCCCCTGCTGGCCACTGCTGGGTGGTGGCAAACCTCTGGGAACACACTCAGGGTGTTGGTAAACCATTGGGAAACCACTCCGGGTGGTGATAAACCACTGGGAAACCAGTCAGGTACTCACCCACTCAACCCCTCACCCATTCACCCACCCACACACTCACCAACTGACCCATTCACCCACTCACCCATTCACCCATTCATGCCTTGATTCTGACCACCAGAGCCCTGACTCTGACCAACAGAGCCCTGATTCTGACCGCGAGAGCCCTGATTCTGACCGCCCACCATCCACCGGCGTCCACCCGTGGACACCGTCCACCGTCCACCGGTGTACACCGCCCACCGTCCACCGGTGTAAACCGTCCACCGTCCATCGGTGTCCACCGTCCACTGGTGTACACCGTCCACCGTCCACCGTCCACCGGTGTACATCGTCCACCGCTGTACACCGCCCATCATCCACATGTGTACACCGCCAACCGTCCACCGATGTACACCGTCCACTGTCCACCGTCCACCACCGTCCATCGTCCACCGCCGTCCACCGTCCACCATCCACCAGTGGATGCCGTCCACCGTCCACCAGTGGACACCGTCCACCGTCCACCGCCCACCGTCCACCGGTGGGGGTAGTGGCACGGGGGGTAGAGGCACGGGGGGTAGTGGCACGGGTGGTAGTGGCACGGGGGGGTTAGTGCCTATCATTTTGGTGTCAAACCACTGGGAAACCACTCAGGATGGTGGTAAACCATTAAGAAACTACTCAGGGTGGTGGTAAACCACTGGAAAACCAGTGCACCACTGCACCAGCGCACCAGTGCACCAGCGAGCCAGCCAGCCAGCCAGCCAGCGGACCAGTGCACCAGTGCACCAGTGGACCAGCGCACCAGTGCACCAGTGCACCAGTGGACCAGCGCACCAGTGCACCAGTGCACCAGCGCACCAGCGCACCAGCGAGCCAGCCAGCCAGCCAGCCAGCGGACCAGTGCACCAGTGCACCAGTGCACCAGTGCACCAGTGACCTGGGAACGAGGACGATTTCTGAGACGCCTACAAAGTGGAGCGCCGAGGGGAAGACATGGAGCACGTGGTGAGAGAGGGCTCACCGTGGCCTGGCAACGAGGACGTCGAAGGGGCAGAGGATCACAAAGCACGGCTCGCTGCCCGCATGCCACTGCGCGCCCTCCATGCTGCTGCCTGCATGGGTCGGTTGTGGGTTGGGAGTTGTGGGATGAGGGTTGGGCTTGGGGACTGCGGATTGCAGCTCCCTCACAACTTGTAGAGGATGACGAGGGCTCGCTGCCTGCATGCCACTGCGCCCCTCCATGCTGCTGCCTGTGCCGAGGGGTTGCGGGTTGCTGATAGTGAGATGGGGGTTGGGGGAGGGGGGAGGAGAGGAGGTATGAGAGGCACACAACAGGAAGGCAGCACAATGGGAGTATCGACCAGTGCGCGTATGTGGCAGGCAGAGCAAGGGCCACACCAGAGAAGGGCAAGTGCACAGGGGCAAATTGTGGCAGAGGGGGAGGACGAGGGGGGGGGGGGTTGAGTCGGGGGGGAGGGGGGAGGCACGGTAGGGGCGCACCAGAGAAGGGCGAGTGTGCGAGGGCGAAGTGGGTGGTGGCAGTGCGGTGGAAGCCGTGCAGGGGCAGGGCGTCGCACATGGCCTCCTGGTTGCGCATTGTCAGCATGCGCAGCTCGGGGGGGCACGGCTGCAGAGCAGGCTGCTGCAGGGGGGATGGCTGCAGGGGCGAGGCGGATGGTGAGTGGGATGAGTGGGATGGATCCTCGTAGGGTGAGGCAGACGATGGTGGGTCGTGGGTGGATGCCGGTGTGGCGATAGGAGGGGATTCGAGGGTTGCCAGGATGGATGGTGGGGGAGAGGTGGAGGAGGAAGAGGAGGGAGCGGAGGGAGCGGAGGTAGCAGAGGTAGCAGAGGAAGTGGAGGAGGAAGAAGAGGAGGAAGATGCAGGAGAAGACAACGGCAAGGACAGTGACGGTGATGGTGAGGGGGAGGGGAGGGGTGGAGCGGAGGAGGGGAAGGGGCAAGAGAGCACGAGCAGGCGGTCGCCATAGGGAGCGAGGCCAGCTATGAGGTGCTCCACTCGCAGCACAGCCAGCACCGCTAGGTACCGTGCTGCTGCCGCTGCTGCTGGTGCTGCTGCTGCTGCCGGTGTTGCCGGTGCTGCCGGTACTGCCGGTGCTGCTGCTGGTGAGGCAGACGATGGGGCAGCAGGAGTCGTGCCACTACTGCTGCTGCTGCTGGTGCAACCGGGGCTGGTTGTGCTGGTGGTGCTGGTGCTGGTGCTGGGAGTGGTGGTGGGCAGGGGGGAGGGTGCGGAGGAGGTGGTAGTGGAGGGGGGGTTGGTAGCAGCAGGTGTGGCAGCAGGTGTGGGTGATGCGCGCGTGCGAATGGCTGCAATCTTTATCGTGTCCGCCCAGCCGATTGCAAGGGTGGTGTCGTCCTGGGTACCCGTATATCAAGCCAGGCATACGAATGCAATGCCACGTCGAGTCATGTCATGCCACGTCATGCCATGTCATACGGCATCGCACAAGCACGTGAACATCTGTGCATATGCACATGTCACCCTACAAGATACAGCACCAGCATTGAACAGCAGGCAGTGAACAGAAAGCAACAAGCAAGACACAGCAAGAGCACCATCGAAGCAGCTGCAAGAACCAACAACCACACACGGCAAAAACCAAGGGATGCAGCACAACCACAGCACCAGCAGCAGCCGCACCAGCAGCAGCAGGAGTAGCAGAAACAGCAGCAGCAGCAGCAGCAGCAGCAGCAGCAGCAGCAGCAGCAGCAGCAGCAGCAGCAGCGGCGGCGGCGTACCATCCAGAAGACATGGGGCCGGGAGGCGATGCCAGCAGTGAGGTTGGAGCACGGGCGGTCCACGTGGGCGAGCGGCGTGGACGTGGCCAGGCAGAAGAGCTTCACGCCACGGTCGTTGGCCCACAGCAGCACCGACCCCTGCCATACTACGCACGTGATCGCGCCCTCCCCTGCATGCAGCAGCTGATACCAGACGCACGGGGAAGAGATGGAGGGTCGAGGCCCGAGGGGGTAGAAGGCTTTTGAGTCGACTCAAAAGCGCCCTCCCCCGCATGCAACAGCTGATACCAGACGCAAGGGGAAGAGATGGAGGGGTTGAAGGGGTAGGAGTGGGTCCACGGGGTTGACGGGGTTTGGAGGGACGGGACGCCAGGGGGCAAGGAGGGAAGGGGGCGAGGCAGGGTGACAGCGTGACAGGAGGGGGATGTGAGGGGCAGCAGCAGCAGCAGCTGCCTCCTGCTTGGCACGGTAGAGCAGGCCAACGTTCCTCGGGCACCTCTCACGCACCTCTCATCATCCCTCACTTTCACTTCTCGGACCCCCAACCCAACCCAACCCCCCTCCCAATCCCGTCTGCCCTCCCTCCTCACCCTCCCCCTCTCCCCCTCTTCCCCTTCCCCCTTTCCCCTCCCCTGCACCTGGTCCGAGGCCCCAAGCCAGCCCTTGGAGTTGAGCACCAGCTCGCCCGCCTCGCCCCCAGTGGCAAACTGCCGGGACCGCCGCGAGGAGCCGAAGGAGGGGTGCAGGGCGAGCGCGAGGAGCGGGCGGCGGTAGCGGAAGGTCAGGGCGTCCGGGGAGAAGAGCCCGTGGATGGCCAGCGAGCCGTCCAGGGCGCACGACGCCACGTGGTTCACTGCTGCGTCGAAGGACACTGCGGACACTGCTGCCTTGTGCGAGTGGTACTGCTTCACCTGGGGGCGGCGGGGTGGGGGGATGGGGGACGGAGTGAGGGGGAGGAGAATACAGGAAGACGAGAGAGAGAAAGCGACAGGGAAGGGGGAAGGGAAGGGAAAGGGGAAGGGGGAGGGGAAGGGAACTGGGAAAGGGAAAGGCGGGCGGGGAGCACCTGGTTGCCGAGCAGGTCGAGCACGTGCACGCAGCCGTCGGACGTGCCGAGCGCGAGCATCTTGTCCGACACCGACACGCACGTCGCATGCACGCCCCCGCCCACTATCGCAGGCACGTCGCCTCCCAGCCTCTGGTACTTCAGTATCGGCTCCTCCTCCTCCTCCTCCTCCTCCTCCTCCTCCTCCTCCTCCTCCTCATCCTCTTCCTCCTCCTCTCCCCCCTCTTCCCGCTCTCCCCGCTCTCCCCCCTCTCCCCCCTCTCCCCGCTCTCCCCCCTCTCCCCCCTCTCCTCGCTCTTGCCCCGCTTCCCTCGGTATCAGCACCGCGCCCTCTCCTTCTTCTTCCGTTTTTCCCAGCGGTCTCCGATTGACCCCCGGGCCCTGCTCTCCGCCCGCGCCGGCCTGCGCCTCTCCCCCTGCCCTCGCGGAACGGTTCCCCGCGACCAGCGACAGAATTTCCGCAAATCGTTCCGCCGCCGCGCCCTCGAGCGCCTCCTCCGCCTTGGCGCTTTCGGAGGGGGAGGCAACCACTCCGCCGCTGTGCGCTACGGCTGCCCCATCCGCGTTGCTCCGCTCAGCAATACTCGCTGGCCCAGCGTCTGGGGCGCGGTGCGCGTCTGTAGCGCGGGCTGCTACAGGCGTTGGCGCTGCAGCCTCTGCGGCGGCATGCTCTGCGCTCGCGCACGCACGCACTGTCGGCGGGTGAGAGAGATGCTGACGATGCTGCTGACGATGCTCATACTCATGCTGATGACCCGCCGAGGACACTGCGGGGGCTACACGCGCCATTCGCGCTACGAGCGTTATCCGTTACAGTCTAAGCTCGTAAGAAAATGGAGAATTGCGACGGCATGGCAACAGGCGTGATGCAAAAGCGGGGACAAGAGGGGTGGTGATGGGCTGGAGGCAGCAGGCATGGTACTTGCAATACTACCAGTATGGGACCCGAGCCCTGAAGGAAAGCGTGCATATCGCCGCGAGGTGCCATGGGGTTGCGAGGACGTCGCTAGGGTTACTTGTTACAAAAGCTAAGTTACTCGTAGGGAGGTTTGGCGCAGAGGAGGCATGTCAAGCTCTGCTGGTTGAGGGGAAGGGGGATTTTCTCAATTGGAAAGTGCACGCTGCGCATCAACGGCAGATTGTAATGCTTACAGATTGTTCCCGCTTCACGCTACACTTGTGGGGAAAACGTATAAATGCTGTTGTATAAAAGTGTTTATGGAAATGAAACATGTGGTAATATGCAACTAGAAGAAGTGCTTGCATTTAAAAGTCAACTACCATAGGTTTACAACCATGGCTAGCTATACGCTAAGATACAAATGACATAAAATTCTTGCACAACATGGATGCTAGATATTCAACATGGATCATGTAGTAAGCATGAGGCCACTAGGGTTATGCTGGGTGGTGAAAATATTTGCAGCAGTCTTTATTGCATGAATAGCCTCTGACTGCGGCACTACATGGATTACCCTACTGAAGTCTGGCACCGGTGCTACAGGTATTAGATCCTTATGTCAAGCCTAACACGCACTGTCGTGTCCAACCACATGGGAGGGACAAGCCGTGTCTGACTGCATGTGAATCCTCTCCTGCTCAGTCTACTTGAGGGGAATCAGCACGTTGCTAATCTCGTAGCAGATGGCGGTGGCGTCCTTGAACGGCATTGCAGTGATGTTCGCGAGCTGAGTTCCCTCCTGCGCGAACTGCGGGCCCAGGGAGATCACCTTGCCGACGCCCTGAAACTTCTGGATGAGGCTGGTGCCGCGGAAGGTGGTGTAGCCCTGGCCGACCTTGTCATTCACGAACCGAGTGGGGAGGGCCTGGAAGTTGAGCATGTGGAACTTGATCAGGTCCTGCAGCGTGTTCTGGTTCTTCGCCCACGGCTTCTGCGCGGACACGGGACGGGACGGGACGACAACGCAACGGATTAGGGTTTCGTCAGGAGCCGCGTGGGAGAGTGCGACAGATGGCACTGGAATTGAAACGAGGAATGAAACTCTTTGTGCGTTGCGTTGTAGGGGCTCTGGGGAGTGTACTGACCAGGACAGAAGCCTTCTGGACCTTGAACGCCGCGTTGCTGGGGACGAACAGGGTGAAGCCGGTGCGGGTAGTGGAGAGGTAGTCAGTGATCGTTTTGGTAATACCTGCAAGCAAGCCCGCGGGAAACTCGCCCATTCAGTTAGAAAAAGGATCCGGAAATTTGAGCGTCGCGTTGCGCTGCTCGCGAAGACCTCCGGAAGCTGAAATGCGAAGAAATACACCGAAAAGAAACGACCGCGCAGAGGCGAGACCGCAGGTAAAGGAGTCTACGGACCTGACTTCTGAACGATGGAGAGGAAGGTGCTGTGCTGGCCTCCCTTCTGCAGGGCCTGGGTGATGAGCGTCCATTGAAGCGTTCCGTCGCGAACCACCGGAGCTGCGTGGGACATGCACAAGGCGCAGGACAGCGCTACGACCAGAACTGCGATAGAGAGAACGCGAGCCATGGTGGAATATTGGAGAACGTGCTGACAGCGCGAAGGACTGGAGAGTAAGTTAGGAGTAGTAAAGCGATAAGCGATCAAATTTGATGATGATTGGAAATGAGAGCTTGTGGGTTTTGTACCTAGAGGCTGGAGTGGGGTTGACGGGACGGGATGTGTTGGCTCGAATTCGCGAAATCGCACCGCCTTCAAGGTCAGTGTCGCGCGGCTGTCCGTCCGTCGGTCGTGTGGTGAGGTGAGATCGTCGCTTCGTCGTGACATCTCGCGGTCCCTGCGACGAATCGCTCGGCGATTCGTGTCGCATGTATTGTGACTGATGCTGGTTGGGGAATTTGAAGTGGAATGGTTACTGTCGCAGCGCATGATCGGATTCACACACATGCGGCTGTCCTCAACAGAGCACCCCCTTGGCACACGAAGCGCGGTCTGCGAGCAAAGTTTCGTGCGCCACTTCTCGGGTCTTCATTGGGGTTGGCGGACAGCGGATGGGAAAGTTTCGTGTCCGTTAGACAGCACACTAGCTGTTCCTCTCTGCCCGTATGTGCGGCTCTGCGCGGGAACTACTGCAGCTTGGCACGCCGTTGACTGCTCAACCATGTACATGCGACCACCCAACTTGACAGGACTCTATCCCCTCCACAAACGTCTCCATGGTGGAATCTGTTCGGTGGGGCTACTTTGTGTAGTTCGCTAATGCAAAGGTAAATAGTCTAATACTGTACGCTTTCATCATGGTGGAATCTTTTCGGAGGGGCTACTTCTTGTAGTTCGCTAATGCAATAAAAAGTCTAATACTGTAAGTTTTCGTCATGATGCGTTGACCAGAGCTGATTTTATCAGCCTATTTTAGTCTGGTTGTCTGAAATTTCATACCCTTTTTTTTGCCACTCCTGATTTTTCAGACTTCGGCTTTTCTGGATACTGAACCCTTCAGAGTTGTATGATTTTGGATCCTGAAGTTTTCAGAGTAGTCGTTGTGCGGATACTGAGTTTTCAGATTACATCACGTATGGACTCCGAATGCGACATGCATGCATGTTGTACTTTCCACGATATTTCCTCTATTACGTCATATGTTGCTTGCCATCATTTCACCCCCGCACGTCTCACGCGAAGTATCTGCACTTGGCAGGATTCCCGCCCCTTGTGTGGCTGTGATGCTGCCCTCAATAAGGACTTCGCCGCTCAGCGCGTCATGCATCCTGCCGCGCGTGCCTGCTAAGGACCTCAACGTGGGTGTGTTGGAAGCCAGCAAAGGCTGGCAACGCGGGAAACTTGCCCTCGCTGGCATGTGCAAAATTGTCTGACCGACAGGGATTGGCCACAGTCTATGCCAACACATGGTTCGCAATGTCAGCTCATGTTTGGCATGTCAGCTCATGGAAGGGGTTGCCGTCCAAAAGCTGACGCGGGTTAACCAAGAAACACGCGCCTCGGGCTTGCTGGTGCCCTTCTTCTTCGTCCCTCTCATCCCTCCCCCTCCTCTCAGGCGCACTCAGGCATTTAGACGGAGTTTGTAAAGCTTCCTCCTCAATCCGTGTTTCGGAGTTGTCCTCCTCGCGTAGGTTCTCTTTTGTCGACCCCGTCAACAGCCAGGACGGGGACTCCTGCAGAAGAGGACGATCAGCCCAGCGCCGATGAACCACCTCATAGCAACGAGCCTGCAGAGGTTCCTCGCTCCGCGTTAGACATTCTGCACTCGTTAGGTTCTCCTCCCATCGTAGCTGTTATGGTTCCCTCCGTAGCGGAGGAAACCCAGCCTGCTCTAAACCCACCTCCGTCTACGCCCCTCGCGCCACCACCATATGTCCCTCCGCCAGCCGTCGCCTCATCCAACAGAGGCCCGACTCTGCATGTTAACTGCGCCACCGCCACTACAGTCCGCTACAGCGTGCCCTGCGCGTCCACGATTTTGTCTGCGAAGAAGCAACGGGCGGGCAAGTACACCCAGTCCCAAATCATGATCGGGGACTACCTCCGCCGCCCGTCCCCGCCGCCATCACCTAGTGCAGCCCCTGTCGTCGATGAACCGCCACCACCAAAGCTGGGTAAGAAGGAATTGATTGAGCAGAAATACCTCGTCGCTGAAGCGAAGTACAAAACTTCTTGGCTGCCTTTCTTTCCTTGGCTTCTGCTAACCAAAACAAAAGACGGCTACCCTGCTCTCAAGTGCAATGTCTGCATGACGTATAACAAGGACACCACCAAGTATGGCTCTTCAGGCGACGGTGGCCGAGACCTGCAGACACAGACCATGCGCATACACGAACACTCCTCTGCACATAAGGAAGCTGTGGAGGCCCAGCTGAAGATTGCCGACGACATCGCCGATGGGCAGAAGAGGATTGACAACTACTTGTCGTCGGATGTCGAGGGGAGGCGGGTCGTGCAATTGCTCCGCGCCGTTGAGTTCCGCTGTAAGGTCGATGCTCCTATCACCATGTTTCCTCAGCTATGTCGCTTTATGGATGAGCAGGACACCCCGGACCTACTGATCCAGTCTTACGGTGTTTACTTCACTCGGTAAGTACCTGCGAGTACAGTCCATTACTCTGCCCCGTTGGATCTTTTAAACATTTCATCTTTTTCTGCGTGCAGGTACAGCTTTCAACAGATGGTCCACTGCTTGGCGACTCTTCTTCAACGGACCCAGATGCAGCACATTCAGTCGTCCCCGTTCATCGGCATCAGTTGTGACGAGAGCACTGATCATACCAGAGGGAAGCACCTGATCGTGTACCTCACGTTCTTGCGCCATCGCCGCCTCGTCACCAAATTCTTCTCGTTGCTGACTTTCAAGAAGTGCGATGCCGCCTCAGTGCTCTCTGTGCTCCTCACTCATCTTCAAGATGCCGCCATCGAACTCAACCGCATCGCGGGAGTCAGCACCGATGACGGCTCCGTCATGGTGGGGCGCGAGAACGGTCTCGTGGCGCGGCTTCGCGAGCACATCCCTCACCTTGTGTCATCCCACTGCATCGCCCACCAGTATAGAGTCATTATGCAATGTTCTCGCTTCTTTGTTTTTTATTGTTTACTAATTTGTTTCTATGGACTGTGCGCAGGGAAGCTCTGGCTGTGAAGGACCCCATGTCTGCATGTCCAGACTCGGACATGGTCGACAAGGTTATCCAAACTCTGGCCGATCTCTTCGGCCGTTCAAGCGTGTGGAGCCAACGGTTCAAGTACCTGCAGCGTGTCATCCACAAGACCAACCTTGAAGTTCAAGGCATCCACGCGATTCGGTGGCTGTCCAGGGGTGAGGCAGTCAGACGCCTCTGTAAGGTCCTCGGTGTTGCCATTGTTTTACTATTCGAGTATAAGCATGAGATGTATAAGGTTGTCATCTCATACAAGTTTCAGTTTTGACTCTTCTTCCTGGCGGACGTCCTCGCCATCATGAACGAGCTCAACCTCAAGTTTCGGAAGCGGGAGGTGAGCCTTTGCACGTGTGCTTGTGCTATGTTCTTTCACAATCAGCACTAACATCCTGTCCCTTGACTTGCGCCCCCATGTTCCCTCCACCCCCCCACCCCCCCCCCCCCCCGACCGCAGGTGGATGTCACCAAGATAACAAAGGACGTCGACGAGGTGGTGGGGGATCTTCGGCACCGCTACTTGGAGCGCGGCGGAGCTTTCTGTGCGGGCTTAAGCGGCACGTGGCTGTCGCCTTTCTTAACCGTGTACAAGCGCAGGGGGACGAAGAGAGTGAAGGTGTGCGGCATCGACAAGGACGGGCAGCTGGTGACGCACACGTACCAGATGCACGAGCGGCAGATCAAGGGGCATGTCTACCAGAGCAACTACCGGGACTGCGACTTGTTGTGCGCGAAGTTCGTGAGGGGGAGTATGACGAACCTGCTGGAGCGGCTGGACGACCTGTCTAAGCTCGGGCAGACGAAGTTGTTTCGGGCGGGCAAGTGGCCGCGGCTTCGGACGGTGAGGGAGAAGAAGACGAGGGAGTATCTCCATGGCTGCAGTGCTATCTTCGACGACGGGCTCCCCGGGTTCGATTTGAAGGCGGCGGAGAAGGAGCTGGCAACTTGGGGCCCCGATCATGCAGAACCACCACAACGAGAAGGGCTTCTACCAGGGCCTCACGAACTACCTTGGCAACAAAGAGTCAAGCAGGTAAGTCAAGCCTCCAAAGCACGCTGCTCTGTATGCCTGTGTATGTTTGTTTTTGCCAGTTTTGACCACCATGCCTCCAGTTTGCCAGTTTTGACCACCACGCCTGTGTATGTGTATTTGTGAGCTTGTCCGTGCTAGAGGCACGAACGTGAGCAAGGCAGCTTCTGACGTGGAACGCGGACGTGTGACCAGGTAACCCGGTCCAGATAAGGGTCGGCAAAACTTGCGGTCGCTCGGAGTGCTGCCAAATGTTAAGCTAATCGAGCGGCGTAGCGAATGGCGAACGGCCACAGAAAAATGGGTGCACCGGCATGGATCATGAGGTACGAGCCGCCTCCATCACCAAACCGATGCGTCGCTCAGCGACCCCATTCTGCTACGGGAGTCTGGCAGGGTGTACAACTTGGTGATGCCCTCCGCACGACAGAACTGGCCAAGCCGACTGGAGGCGAACTCGTCGCCACGGTTGGACTGAAGACGCAGCACATGTAGGCCGAGGGAACCGCCTGACAGGGAAGGGTGGTGGAGCTACGAGTGACTACTGGACCGGAAGAGGGGTCAACAAGCGCGACAGCTGCAGGGGTGGCAAGCGCTGTGAGTGCGATGTGGTCGAGAAAGAAGCAGGTGGACGCGCCAGAGTCTAGCGTGAAAAACAGCGCCGCGGTAGCGTCAGCCAGCGCAGGGGCCAATGTGGAACCTAGGTTAAACAAAGCTGGAGGTCCTACGCCTGACGCAGCAGGGGAGCCTAGACTACACACAGGGGGCACACATTCACTAGGCAACACTGGGTAATAAGGTTCAGTCACACTAGATTCATCAGCATACAAGGCATACAAAGCAAAGCAAATCTTATCCATGTCCATTTCAAAGACCGGAATAAAGTGACGTACGAGACTTTGCCAATCAGGGAGGTCCGGCGCAGGGCCGAATCAGAGACAGAAGAGGTCATCGAGGCGGCAGTAG